CATGCATTAACAACTGCCCTTGTCCCCATTTTCTCTGGAAACGTTATTTCTTGTGTAAAATATTAATCGGCTCCTCGAGCAAAATGAAATTGGAAGCAGAAAGTGTTTCTGTAGAAAAAGTCCCACTCCCACTTAGTAGTGAGATGTGCACAACGGAAGTTGTCCATAGTTGCCCTAAAAATTCGTATGATAATGTACGAGTATGACATCATGGTGATTGTCCTGTGAAAACATGTTCTCCCGTTCCCGTCTTTCATCTGTGACCTTCTTGGATCGTACACACATGGACAAAGACTATTACAATCTGTGGTTTTTACACTATGGAATCTGTATATGATTGCACATGTATTTAGTTCTTTTGACGAAACCATCAAACAACATTTCAGAAAAAACACATTCTATCGTCTTATCAAATGGAATAAGGCTTTTTTTCTATCATCTTTCAGTATACAGTTCTAATAAATTGCATTACACGGGCAAAAATTCCACGGTCGTACCCTTCTTTCAGTTTGTATTTCCGCACTCTTTCAGCTTACATAGGAAAGATCAATACTTCGAGCATGAGACATTCAGAAAACACGGTTAAATTACAGAACATTGAACTAGCCAAACTGGTATCTAGCAAGCGGCGGAAATTGTGGTGCTGATCTTGTAGAATTGTTGTCATGGTATGTTTCAGTGCACTGAGTACCACACAGTATAAGCCTAATGTATTGAGTTATATGTCTCATTTTATGTTCATATTCAGTACATATATACCATCAACGCCTCAGTCACGATGTGTAGCTTTATTGTGTCTAGCTCTTGGCACCGTGTTTAATTCAGACATAGTACCATCAACGCCACAGTGACATCATACATCCTTTCTTGTGTCTAGTTATTGACACCGTGTTTTGTTCACACATAGTACCATCAACGCCACAGTGACGTCATATAGCCTTTCTTGTGTCTAGTTATTGACACAGTGTTTTGTTCACACATAGTACCATCATCACCACAGTGACGTCATATAGCACCTTTCTTGTGTCTAGTTATTGACACCGTGTTCTGATCACACATAGTACCATAGTACCATCAACGCCACAGTGGCGTCATATAGCCTTTCTTGTGTCTAGTTATTGACACAGTGTTTTGTTCACACGTAGTACCATCAACGCCACAGTGACGTCATATAGCCTTCCTTGTGTCTAGTTATTGACACCGTGTTCTGATCACACATAGTACCATAGTACCATCAACGCCACAATGGCATCATATATCCTTTCTTGTGTCTAGTTATTGACACAGTGTTTTGTTCACACATAGTACCATCATCACCACAGTGACGTCATATAGCCTTTCTTGTGTCTAGTTATTGACACAGTGTTTTGTTCACACATAGTACCATCATCACCACAGTGACGTCATATAGCCTTCCTTGTGTCTAGTTATTGACACCGTGTTCTGATCACACATAGTACCATAGTACCATCAACGCCACAATGGCATCATAAATCCTTTCTTGTGTCTAGTTATTGACACAGTGTTTTGTTCACACATAGTAATACAGTACCATCAACGCCACAATGGCATCATATATCATTTCTTGTGTCTAGTTATTGACACAGTGTTTTGTTCACACATAGTACCATCAACGCCACAGTGACGTCATATAGCCCTTCTTGTGTCTAGTTACACTCCTCTTATTTAGTTCACACACAGTACCATCACGACTCATGGACGGCCGTACGGTAGCATCAATTCCACATAGAGAAGCCCATACTGTTTAATATCAACACGACACACTTGCTACTATGTCATCTGATCTGCCACGTATGATGTTGCTGCCCATCAGTGTCTCCGATTTCATTTTGCGACTGTACATGTAACGTCCCATAATTTACCCCCGGGTGTAGTCGTATAACAAAATCAATAGTTAGTCGGATATTTTACACTAGATACAGATATAGCGTCAAGTAATAAAACATTTCAACGACAAGATATGGGGAAACAAAACCATTTAGGTGTACTTAGTTTGTCTCACTGTCCCTGAACCACACCATTTTCCTTCCGCCCAGCCATATCAGTAATGTAAAAACGCTTAATGAAGCCTGTCTACACTTTCCTCAGGTCAGAAAATCACTCAGTATTCCAGGATTGGGTCTCCTTTTCAGTTTAAATGAAACTATATATTTTCAGGGACTAACGTTGGTATAGGATTACTGAATTTTGCCAGACAGTGATATCATGTTTACTGGTATCTTTAGACTCAATAATGCTATGGCAGTATCCATATCCTGCTAGAACCTGACTACAGCGAATCCTCCTTGTCATATGTTGGGGGACTAAGAGATTGGTGGTCAGGATCGCATACCTGGATGACTCATCGCATCTGTGTTGGGTAGATCGAGGTTGATGATGTCAGTAACAGGTTTGTGTGGTCCAGCATGTGCGTCGTTATCATACAACTAGAACATTGCTGAGTGCGGCGTTATCATACAGCTAGAACAGTGCTGAGTGCGGCGTTATCATACAACTAGAATGTTGCTGAGTGCGGCGTTATCATACAACTAGAACATTGCTGAGTGCGGCGTTATCATACAACTAGAACATTGCTGAGTGCGGCGTTATCATACAACTAGAACATTGCTGAGTGCGGCGTTATCATACAGCTAGCAACTAGAATGTTGCTGGGAACTGCGGCTTTATCATATAGTTAAACATTGCTGAGTGCGGCGTTATCATAAAGCTAGAACATTGCTGAGTGCGGCGTTATCATTATACAACTAGAATGTTGCAGAGTGCGGCTTATCATCATATAGTTAAACATTGCTGAGTGCGGCGTTATCATACAACTAGAATGTTGCAGAGTGTGGCTTTATCATATAGTTAAACATTGCTGAGTGCGGCGTTATCATACAACTAGAATGTTGCTGAGTGCGGCGTTATCATACAACTAGAACATTGCTGAGTGCGGCGTTATCATACAACTAGAACATTGCTGAGTGCGGCGTTATCATACAACTAGAATGTTGCTGAGTGCGGCGTTATCATACAACTAGAATGTTGCAGAGTGCGGCGTTATCATACAACTAGAACATTGCTGAGTGCGGCGTTATCATACAGCTAGAATGTTGCTGAGTGCGGCGTTATCATACAGCTAGAATGTTGCAGAGTGCGGCTTTATCATACAACTAGAATGTTGCTGAGTGCCGCTTTATCATACAAGCTAGAATGTTGCTGAGTGCGGCTTCATCATACAACTAGAATGTTGCAAAGTGCGGCTTTATCATATAGTTAAACATTTCTGAGTGGGGCTTTATCATAAAGCTAAAACATTACTGAGTGCGACGCTACTATTACAGCTAGTACATCGAGTTCGACGTTACCATGCAAGCAATCATGAGAAAGTACGTTAAAGAATTTAGTTCCTAATGAAGATGCAGCAACCCATGACTGTCCTTAGAGTTAACTAATGTTATTACTTGTTCAGACTCGCTGACTTGGTTGATACATACCATAGCATCCCTAATGTGTAGCTCAATACCCGTGATGTCAGAGATATCAATCCTTTGTTAGGTCAAGGCTCAGTTTTCACAAGCGCCATATAACTAGAACACTGCTGAAAGCAGAGTTAAACAACAATAACAACAACAACAACAACATAACCTAATCGCCATGGTATCCGGATCACCCCTCCAACAATGTGGCATGTCGTCAACAGATATTTTATGAGAGTTTCGACTACTTCTGGAAGGAAAGAATCCCTTGTTTATTCGCTTTCATTTATCGTTTGGATTGTTCGTGATGTTTGGTTGGCTGCTGTTTTACAACAAAGCGAGTAATGTCCGAGTTACAGCCCGTTGGACTATAAATAACCGTGGCCCAACAAATAAGTGTTTGATATAATTACACCCATTCAACAGAGACACCGAGACTGATCTTGTTACCCATTCTGACGACAAACACATATATATATTGAATTGTTACCTTGGCAAGCCAGGCTCTCCTTAACCCCTACATAGCCTAACACCTATATTGGCTACCTTACCACATTTCAGCCAAACTGCGAGACTCGAAAAGCCAATACTGCAAAGCCAAAAGGTTGTGGCTAACTGACTTACTGCTCGATACATGATAAAACGTACTTGTTATTATCCAGCTTTATAGCCAGTCAGGCACATGTCAAATATACATTACAGACAGCAAGTCAGATTAGGAAGGATACAAGTTTTGACCGCCACAAATTGAAACTCCCGAATCAGCTACTGTTTTCAATTACTAACACAAGGATATTTTCATAGCTCTGTATCAAAACTACTCATAAGGGCTCCACACATTGACCCTATTGCAATTCTTTGACAGAACAGGTCAACAATATCTGCCTCAGTCGAACGATTTCATTGTATGATCTGCTTCTGTTGTGTCACCGGTCTAAGGTTACACTACATCAAACCAGAACCCGTAGTGTAACGAGCACCTTTCGTAGGTGCGGGCTGAATAATCTGACAGCTGTGATTGGGCGATTGTGTCAGATTTTTGTGTTTTTTGAAAGTTCATTCATACAGTAATTAAAACTGACCATATGTTTTAATACATAGAGCTGTCTGTTTTTACATTATGAATTAGACGGAATGTGACCACAGGTATTTTCAAGCGGTTGACATTTTGTGCGGAACTGAGGTTAGTCTTCGGAAAAGGAGCTGGTTGTATTTTAGATTGTTATTGCTTATAACGTTAATTTGTTGAAAAGTTAATTTGTTGTAATATAACGTTAAATTAAAGTCAATGGGAAAATGTTTGGTTTTGTGTAACCTCTAGCAACTGAAAGTGAAACTCAAACCTCTCTTAATCAATGTTTCCTGAACTGAGTATTTACTGAAGCTCCTGTTATGGATCAAAATCTAATTACACCACAAAGCCTTGACCGATTGAAATAGTGAAAGAGAGAAACTAACTTATCAGAGCTTTTCCTCTAAATATATAACGTCAACATCTCGATTATTCGCTGAAACACATAGTAAAAAAATAGTATATTATTTATTACATATATACGAATATAATTTCCACTTTTCAGTTTGTACAGTGCTTATGGTGTTAATCCACCTTTATCAGTAAGATGGTGTCATAACCTGAGATTAGGTCTTCAAACAGTTGTAAAGTATCCCGCTCCAGTGTCTGAAAGTGCTGTAACCATGCTTCCGGTATCTGTGTTAGGCTGTGCAAGGGTTAAGTATCTGGTCTCTGTGTTAGACTGTGAAAGGGTTAGGTATCTGGTCTCAGTATTTGGCTGTGTCGCCGTGAGGTATCCCGCTTCAGTGTCTGGAGGTGCTGTAACAATGCTTCCGGAATCTGTGTTAGGCTTTGTAGGTGTAAGGTATCCCGCTCCATTGTCTGGAGGTACTGTAACAATGCTTACGGTATATGGGTTAGGCATTGTAGGGGTTAGGTAGCTTGACTCAGTATTTGGCCGTGTAGGTGTAAGGTATCCCGCTTCAATGTCTGGAGGTGCAACTGTGTTTGGCTGTACGGTTGGAGGGCCTATTTCATCATAGACATGGTCAGAATCGCGCTCAGTAACCGCAACATTGGTCACAGATCTCTTTTGTGGTTTTCGTCGATGCCTAGAAAAAGAACAGTAAGCATAACGTTTTCATAAACATTGAAACAAACTTGAAAGATTTTTATTGTCATAATATTACTCATGTAGTGAAGATTTGGTTAGTGTTGAATTTATTGCTTGATGCGCAATATTGTTGAGAATGTTTCTTTCGAGAACATCTTGTTCATCACCAATATTGTCAGAAATCAATTCACTAATTTTTCACCGCCATTTTTCTCCTATGTCCAATGGAAATCTCTTGCAAACAAGAAAAGTGAGAGTTGAAATCCTATGGTTAGTATGTAGATTAGCATTGCGTCTCATTAACTGTGAATTCCAAAGGGCCTTACTTCTTTCATAACATCATTCTTAGGTGAGTGAGTGAGTGTAGTTTTGCGCCGCAATATTCCAATATTCCGGCGGCGATCTGTAAATAATCTAGTCTGGACCAGACAATCCAGTGATCAACAGCATGATCATCGATCTGTGCAATTGGGAATCGATGGACATGTGTCAACCAAGTCAGCGAGCCTGACCACCCGATCCCGTTAGTCGCCTCTTACGATAAGAATGGGTTACTGAAGATCAATATTCTAACCCGTACCTTCACGGGTCATTCTTTCAGGTCACACATATCAGTGAGTTTATATATCGAAATGCCAAATATATACAGCTCCGGACACCTGCAGAGTATTGCAGAGTTCCTGTATACCATATCTGACACAGCTTCTCCAGCGCATCATCGTATCAACACTATAATTCTCGTTGTAATACAGTTGCGGAAGGGAGCACAATCTGATGCTGTCGGATGTTGTTAAATAAGAACTAAAAGCAGAATATCTTCTTTCTATCGTGCACAAATCTAACGTGGCCTTCGGAATGTGTTCTAAATTAATTTGATCAGAAAGCATCTTTCATTTCATTATCAAACTGTTAACCTCGTGGATTCTGTTGCCATTGAAACATATGACTACATCCAATCATTGGTGCGTTTTTCGGATACCATTAAAGTAATTAATGGTAAAGTCAGAACGTTGAAAGGTGAAACTCCCGTTTACAAAGTCGGTCCAGGTCCAAATGAAATGACTCTGGTCATTGTTATTATTACACCATAACAATCACAAATCTGAAACCCGTGAAGGTCCAGGTTAGAATGAGTCTTCAGTAACCCATGCTTGTCGTAAGAGGCGACTAACGGGATCGGGTGGTCAGGCTCGCTGACTTGGTTGACACATGTCATCGGTTCCCAATTGCGCAGATCGATGCTCATGCTGTTGATCACTGGATTGTCTTGTCCAGACTCGATTATTTACAGACCGCCGCCATATAGCTGGCATATTGCTGAGTGCGGCGTAAAACTAAACTCACTCACTCACTCACAAATCTGAAAGCGCATCATATTTGTATCGTGAAAGCAATACATACCAAGTGCAGAGGAGGAACGGAGTCGTTATCAGTACCAGGAGACCAGCAGCAACAACCACCATGACAATGGCTATGATGTACGGATTGTGTGTCTTGGTTGTAGGCAGAGTCCCTGAAACATTGAACCAATTAAAGACAAAACATTCAACTTGAAGAAAACTAAATTGCCTTCCGACATGACTGTGGAATCCTAGAAGGGATATTGTCGCGCTGCCGCCCTCTCAAAAGCAAGCAACATGTGAAAATGCGACAACGCGACATATTTGACCTTGAAAATTGTCTCTATGTCGCATTGTCGCCCTTTGTATGAATATAAAAATATTATTAAAAGCACGACAATGCGAGAAATGTCCAAAATTTCACGTTGTCGCATTGTCGCCCTTTGGTAAGTTTTGACTCTTTTTGTTTGTTTTTGAGAGGGCGGCAACTCGACAATATCCCTTCTAGGATTCCATAGTCATGTCGGAGGGCATTGGTTTCTTCAAGCTGAATGTTTTGTCCATACATGACACACACCGATACATATTCTTTTCCACTACGACTATGTACAGTGATCAGCAAGGCAATTAAATCATCCTTCTTCTTTGACGTTCGGCCAAAGTGGTAGTAATGATGAAACGGAGTAGGATTATTTACCTCACTCGCTCACTCACTCACTCACTCACTCACTCACTCACTCACTCACTCACTCACTCACTCACCACCACTCAACACTCACTCAGGACCACTCACACTCACTCACTCACTCACTCACTCACTCACTCACTCAGGTTCCTGATTTGTTTTTCATGAAAGCACCCGAGAGCTCAGTAATTAGCACTTTACCTGAAACTCTCTACATATTATAAACTACCCTGTATTAACATGTCAAACTACACACAGTGCACGTACTTGGGAATGCGGTCTCATTGTCATCTTCTACAGTGACGTTTGTCTCGCCGGAAGCGCTGTCCTCAGTTGTCGTGTGTGGCTTTGATTTTTCATCTTGTACTTCAGTGGTGATGCTCATCGCCACACTGCCTCTGGCTTTGTGCATCACTTAGCTGGATCTTAGTGCAGGTTTCACCATAGTAGCCGTCGTTACAATGACCTGTGCACTCTCCAGACTCTTTGTTACAGCGATAGCACGCCCGTGAACACCTCTGTGAACAATTAGAACCATAGAATCCATTTTCACAAGGATCCAGACATCTTCCAGACCCTTTGTCGCAACGGTTACAGGGATACAAGCACCTCTGTAAACACTCTCCGCCGTAGAACCCAGCCCTGCAGGGTCCAGTACATCTCCCGGTATACCGGTCACATGTCAAACAGGGTCGTTTACAGCCCGTGTTACAGGTCAAACCCCTGTACCCTGCCTGACAGCCCATCGTACAGTTTACACTCCGGCCGTTAGACAGGAGTTCACATCTCCCATCTTTACAGTGGGCAGGACACGTCCGGGTGCAGTCGGTTCCGTAGAGCGTAGCAGGACATGTGATGCAGTTGTTTGAGCATGTGTCAGCTGAGCAGGTATTACATGCTTGATGGCACTCTCTGTTGGACGGCGTCGTCACACAGCTTGTTCCTGTAACAGTCACACTGAACTCACACCGACTTGTTCTATAAAGCCATAAAAACTATGTCATTGCAGCTTGGAGGAGAATCATGACATCACGACTAACTCACTGCAACTTAGAGGAGAATCATGACATCACGACTAACTCACTGCAACCTAGAGGAGAATCATGTCATCACGACTATCTCACTGCAACCTAGAGGAGAATCATGTCATCACGACTATCTCACTGCAACCTAGAGGAGAATCATGTCATCACGACTATTTCACTGCAACCTTGTCACGACTATCTCACTGCAACCTAGAGGAGAATCATGTCATCACGACTATCTCACTGCAACCTAGAGGAGAATCATGTCATCACGACTATCTCACTGCAACCTAGAGGAGAATCATGTCATCACGACTATTTCACTGCAACGTAGAGGAGAATCATGTCATCACGACTATTTCACTGCAACCTAGAGGAGAATCATGACACCACGACTATTTCACTACAACGTAGAGGAGAATCATGTCATCACGACTATTTCACTGCAACGTAGAGGAGAATCATGACACCACGACTATTTCACTGCAACCTAGAGGACAATCATGTCATCACGACTATTTCACTGCAACCTAGAGGAGAATCATGTCATCACGACTATCTCACTGCAACCTAGAGGAGAATCATGTCATCACGACTATCTCACTGCAACGTAGAGGAGAATCATGTCATCACGACTATTTCACTGCAACCTAGAGGAGAATCATGACACCACGACTATTTCACTACAACGTAGAGGAGAATCATGTCATCACGACTATTTCACTGCAACGTAGAGGAGAATCATGACACCACGACTATTTCACTGCAACCTAGAGGAGAATCATGTCATCACGACTATTTCACTGCAACCTAGAGGAGAATCATGTCATCACGACTATCTCACTGCAACCTAGAGGAGAATCATGTCATCACGACTATCTCACTGCAACGTAGAGGAGAATAATGTCATCACGACTATTTCAATGCAACCTAGAGGAGAATCATGACATCACGACTATCTCACTGCAACCTAGAGGAGAATCATGACATCACGACTATCTCACTGCAACCTAGAGGAGAATCATGTCATCACGACTATTTCACTGCAGTCTTAAGGCGAATCATGATATCACAACTATCCTACTGCAGCCTAGAGCATTACGATATCATGATCTCACCGCAGTATATCGCACGCAGAAATGTTATCATCACAACAATCAGTGCGATGTTGACACCACCATCATATTCCCCGAAGCAGTCAGCAGTATGACGATATCACAACAATATGAACACATTCAGTGGATAGTCATATCACAATTATATGACTGTGGCATTAGAATTCAGTCAGAACGAAATTAGCCTGTCGCCTCTGACAGGTTCATTTCGGTCCGAATGAATTCTAACCCGGAATATCGATGACCAACTGCAGATTTGAGATCTGGCAGGTCACGGTTCCTGTAGTCTTTTATCAAACACAGGGTTACACAGCAATCACTGCTGGTGATTGGGAGTGCCTGCTACGGCGTACATGTTTGCAAGGGATATGCAAACTTACCTGCGAATGCCGAAAGAGTTGCGACCACTATAGCGACGATTCCTAATATGTAATAGCCCATAACCCTGGAAACATAAATAAAACAGAAGTATATATCACAGCACAGGTATAGTGACAACCAGCCATCTTAAAAACCCTCCTTCGTACTTGTTCTCCAACGATACACTTAATATTTCTGTTTCTTAAATGCTTCGCTAAATGATTAAAATCACCGATAGTTTTTTTATCCTGCGATGAAGGACACTTTATAGGTACATGGCCTCTGTTCAAATTACCTCCCCTATTCTCTGACGTAGCCATGGTGACATTTGTGTGTCATGACTGTAAAGATGGCGCAACCACCTTAATTATCGATGGCTGAAATAATGTCTTCAAACTTGTTGAATAATTGATCTCATTCCTTGGGAGAAAATATGGCAAGGTGATTTCAGACATTTCTCATGCCACCTTTTAACCACAAACATAATCAAAACTCACATGAGCAACACAAATATCTGGACGTCGGCACCGTAGGAATGTATGTTTGCCGCTGAACTAATTGATGAGCTATCATTGAAAGATTGCATAATCACAAATTAGCACATGAACACGGCTCTCCCTCCTCCTTCCTCGACACACGGCGACGTCATATAACGCCCTCTGCTGTCGATTTCCGCTGGTTTGTATAGTGTTGAGTAACCATTTCGATATTCACACCACCTCATGGCTTGCAGTTGGTGCGTTATACTACACTCCCGTTGGAATACAACGGAAAATGATTTCGTATAGAAGATCTAAAGACAATGACATTAGTGTAGCTATGTGTGATTATTGTAAAAGTGTACCTGAAGATGAGTACCATGTGTTAATGAAATGTCCTTTATATGCAGCGGTAAGAACCCACTTCACACAATGTATCTATATTATGACCACAGCCCCCACCCCCCACCCAGTATCTATATTATGACCACAGACCCCCCCACCCCATCCCACCCCACCCCCACCCCCAAAACAATAATAAATAAAAGCATAAAATAAAATGAAATTGTACATCTACTAAATACTAAGAACCTCAATATCATACTCCGTCTAGCAATTATTGCAAACAAAATCATGTCCATGCGCTCTGTAAAAATTTAATCCAAGTTGTCATTTTGTACTATTGGCCTCATGGCAACATTTATGAAATAAACTTGTCAGTCTGTCTGAATATATTTGCCACTTTTAAACAAAAAACAACTCTGATCACATCGAACTTCGGCTGTGTTCACATGGGTTAACTCGGTCCAACAATGCACTTTGTTTAGTGCAACGCGTTTAAACTGAAGTAATTTGTATATTTCTTACTTCTGCATGGAATATTGGATAATTACATATTGCACAGATACTAACATATGGTGTTCTAAATTTACCATTTTAGTAGAGTTTTATTTGATTAAATCGTACTGTCCCTAAAGTTAAGGGTGCAGGCAATTAACCCAGGATAGTTCTTTTCAGAGAAACCGCCACCATGGTGTAGTGGTTAGAGCGTCCGCCCGGAGAGCGGAAGGTCGCGGGTTCGATCCCCGAACGCGTCATACCAAAAGACGTTAAAATATGGTACTTGTTGGTCCCTGCCTGGCGCTCGGCATTAATGGGTACAACGAGGACTGGTCGGCTGGGAGTAAGTATAATGTGTCTAAGTGGGGTATTCATGCTTCACTGCGGCATGGAATCTCAGTGGGCTAGCACTATAAAACAGCTTAAGTCTGGGCTAGTACAAGCAGCCGCACATACACATACACATGCATGCACGTCGTCATATGAGCGAAACATTCTCAAGCTCGACGTTAAACCCAATTTCATCTCACCTCACTCTTTTCAGAGAAGACCTATTTCCCGAAAAACTTTCATTTGAGTAAGAAATACAACGAAACGAAACACAAACTCAGTCTTTTATTCGTCATCATAGGAAAGTAATGCAGACTGTTCTCTCCTATGTGTTGTGTAGCGTACTAGAACTTCATTGTAAAGAGCAACAAAATTATATGTTGCAGGAGATTGTGTGTTCGTTGCGACACTACACTTACGCATACAAACATAATGAACGTAAGTGTTTTATGTGGCAAAAACATTGTGACAGTCATTAATCACGTGGCAGCGGGCAGCAAGGTGTGGTATCGGGCAGCAAGGTGTGGTATCGGGCAGCAAGGTGTGGTATGCCATATTAATCATTATTACTCAAACTCGGATGTTTTCTTCGAACCAAAGACACTTTATTCATTACTCATGAACAGTGTGCGAAATAGTTTCCAAATTTTGCAAACCAGTCGGGCTAGCTATGCCTGAAAGTTACAAGCCCACAAAATAATTAATAATCTTGCATGATTTAAAAGTGTATTATAACTCAACAAGTGGAGGAGAGTGATATATTTACAAAATGACCCCATGATAATTTACTAGCCAGTAAATCTCCACAGTCACAGGCCCGACTGGATTCTTACTAGCCACGGGCTAGCGTGCCAGTGGCTATTTCGCGCACTGACCATGAATGTAACAGTGTTGATCATCTGACGTCTGCAACGTGGTCAACGTTTACATGCCGCAGTCATGTTGTAGGTAGGCACACTTCAGAATAGTGTTGGCATGTTTCTCAACTTGTCGTCAGAAGATGATTATAGGTCCGATACCGACAAAAGCACAACGGTGATTGATGCCGCTCTGTAAACTCAAGAGAAACTACTCCAGTCCATGATAGATTAGACAGAATTATGACATGAGGATATCGGTTGCAAACTGCCACTCAGGGACCGAGATAAGGTTCCGTCCCGAAACACGACGTCCTCGTGGCGTCCCACAATCTGCTGCACCTCATTAGAAACAGAGGCGTCAGTGCTGGAGTGCTGGAGTGACTGTCGACACTATCATGTTTTCTGACCAAGTAAGGCTCTCTCCAGACTTCCATGACCGAAAAGACTGAATTTGGTGACGTCATATCGAGCGCTCCATTGACGTTAACGACAGCATGATCACTTTGGTATGATAGTTTGGGTGGTATCAAAATGGCTGGCTGAACCGTGTGTAGTATCGATACAGCATCATTGCACATCTTTGCCATTTGCACAACGCTGTGAACGTTATATTTTTCACTCGCTCATCGTGCAAGGATTGTGACCTATATCCACAAACAGCAAAACTTCCATGTTATGCCATAACCAGCCCCCAGTTCTGCCGTTTACTCTCATCTTGGACGTAACTGGCAGACGTTCATATCGGCGTTAAGATCCCCCGCCACTCCCATTACATTGGTGCAAGATATGTCAGGATGACATTGCTCCAGTCATCAGAAGCATGTCTCGAAGGATTCGTGCATGTCTGGTCAACAGAGATGGTTTTACTACAGTCATCGCATTTGACCTCCCACATTTATAACGACAAAGTGCACCAATGCAACAACCATTAGAACACATCGCATCCTCTCAAACAGATATCATCCTGTCACTTCCCTTGTTGATGCAGAAAAAATGTTCACTTCAATTAGTTTATAATTTCATGCACTAAAGATATTTGTTGTCAAAAGGTTATATTTTTATGTTGCAAAGTACAAAGTTCTTAAATAGTGTAGTAATTTTCATTGTAAAATTTAGTTCAGATGAGGTTCAGAAAGTCTAGCTTGGCTATAACTGTTGTTAGTTCTCCAAAAAGTATGATCATGATTGTCATAACAGATTACTTCCCCTTATTGTGAGTGTTGCCCCTCATCAGAACACATGGCTTGTCACTGCCTCCATGTTGGAGACATTCAGCTGTTTTAGTTGGCATGAACACAAATGTGAGTAGCATTGTTTGCTATTGTAATATATTTCAAGGCATAATAAGGTAATATTATTTGAAGGTTTTGTTAATTGTACATTTTATTCATTAATCTTGTAACTGTTAATTTGAAGTAATTAACTTAGACTTGGCATGTACTTTGACTGTTAGGAATAATTTACTTAGCAAGTCTGTATTTCTGCTTTGTAGTTTTCTGAACCTCACCAAGCCAAAGAAAGAAGTCAAAGTGAAATTGAACGTATATACGAGAATAAATTATTGGTGCGAGTAAAGAATTTTTGTGTCTTCCATCCACATCAGTTCAACGTAACATATGTTATATGTGGGATTACACTTTCTTAGTAAAGTACAGATTCTAGTACTTTTTGGGTTGAGTCCCATCGGGGATTCGAACCCGCACCCTCAGAGTCAGGCACCTAATCGCCAGCACACAAAGTCAGACGCCTAGACCGCTCAGCCACCGCGACTTCCACAAAAATTGAAGTCGGACAACTGGTAGTTGTTGGCATTGGCATTGTGTATTTCACATCAGTTAAAACAAATTTATTCTACCATTGCCATATGATGTTGGAGCTGAAGAACGTTGACCATCAGAACTTTAATGCCAAATAACGTCAGTAGTGTTACCCTAATTGGACTTAGTGAATATTTGTAAACATTTGTTTCTTGCATAAAGACCATCATAGTATAGTGTAACGTGTAACGTGCTATGATGGCAACGACAGGGGATCTTCAAGATGAACAATCTAATTTGACACTGAATGAACAATCTGATAATGTGGAACACAGTGAGCAAACTGTAGAGACTTCTGGTGAAGGTATATATCTCCAGTTGACCAGGTCGAGGCTAACCACACTAATGCTAAGTCTGTCAGAGAGTCAGGAAGAGTTAAAACTTTGACTGAGAAAGGGAAAGTTGAAAGGTTACGATGGTCGAAGAATCAACAAACTGCAGCGCTTTCAGCCATAACGAAGAAGAGAAATGAACTTTCCAGATTAATGTTGAACAGTGGTACTGACTATTTACATTCATTGAAGTTTTGTTTTGTGGAGTTGATTGACTTGTGTAAACAGTATCACACATACTTTGCTTCCTATTATGAGCAGCTTGATTCTGAGGCAGATAGAGATTGTGAGAGAAAACGTTATGAAGAAAAGGATATTTCTATTTCTAGCTTTAGAAAAGTAGTTAAAGGTTGGATTTCAAATGAGAGACTATTGTTAGATAAGTGTGATAATATGTCAAATAGGGGTTCCCAAGCTTCAGGAAAAACTACAAGTTCAACGAGATCGGCTCTAGATAAGGAAAAGGCAAAATTGGCTGAACTTCTTGCAGAAAAAGACATATTGGAGGAAACACGTAAAATGAAGGAGCTTCAGTTGAACATAGAAATAGCTAAGTGTAAGGCAAGAGAGAAGGTTTATGTTGATATATACTTGGAGCTACAGGGTGATTCGAGCTACAGGGTGATTCACCCACCTTTGACTATGAATACTATGCATCTGTTCATCAAACACTGCATCCTACCCAGAATGATGTGCTACTGCAAACCCACAGACAGATGACAACTGCCATGTTTCTTCCACAACCTGAAGTACCCAAGTTTAGGGGTGACCCAACAGCATACAACTCATTCATGATGTCATTTGATGCTAGGATAGTTCCTCACTCGACAAACAGTATAAACAGGCTGTACTACCTGGACCTGCAGCTGGAGGGGGAACCAAAGGAGTTGATAGCTGGATGTTTGTACATGGCGTCAGTGGAGGGATACATTAAGGCTCGGGAGTTGCTGGCTGGAGAATACGGGGATCCATACAAGGTTTCTACAGCGTACGTCCATCAGGTACTTTCATGGCCAGATATTAGGCAAGAAGATAGTCAGAAGCTGAGACAGTTCTCATTCTTTCTCACCAAATGTTCACATGCTATGAATAATATATCCCATATGACCGTCCTGAACCATGCACCCAACTTGCAGGCTATAGTACAGAAGTTGCCTCAATACCTCCAGAACAAGTGGCGAGATCACATTACCAAGTGTAGGATCCAGAACAACAGGATGATTGGATTTAAAGATCTCGTGGAGTTCATAGACTTTGCAGCCAAATCAGCGAATGAGCCTATTTTCAGTAAAGAAGCGATGAGTAAAACTGAAAGTAATCGTGGACATACTCCTAGCAGAGGATTTAGGAAGGACAAGCTGATTGCTAGGAAACCAAGGTCGAGCTCTTTCGCAACAAATGTTGGACAGAACTGACTGTGAAGCCTTCAAGCAAAAGACACTGAACGAGAAACGTTCTTACTTGAGAGAGAAGCACATGTGTTATGGATGCTAAGGATACAACCATGCTGTCAAAGGATGTCTAAGAAAGAGAATATGTAGGAAGTGTGGAAAACGTCATCCAACAGCACTACATGACGATAACTTTCAAATTAGACACAGCAGTCAACATTCAACAGACACCAAGTATCAAACAGAAGGCAACGGCATCCAAAAGGATTTAACAGAAACAGTGTCATCTTCTTGTAACAATACCAAGTCTGACTCGGTGGAAACTGTGCTACAGCCGATTCTGCCTGTCATCATACGCCGGCAAGGTAACAGTAAAGCGGTGAAGATTTATGCATCTTAGACAATGGGAGTACTGGTTGCTTCATCACAGAGACACTCAAAGATCAACTTGGCGCATCAACAACTACGACAACTCTGAAACTACAGACTATGCATGGTGTAGATATGGTAGAAACCTCAGCTGTAACTGGCCTCTCTGTAACTGACAATCATCCAGTCTATCTTCCTTGGACATTTGTAAAGGAAATACCAGTTAATCATAACCAGATTGCTGATCCAAAGTTTCTCGAGCGATTCTCTGAGCTTGAAAATATGGCAAGTAAATTACCTGAATTTTACCCGGAACTTGAAGTTGGTCTCCTAATTGGAAGTAACTGTCCTTCAACCTTACAGCCTCAAAAGGTGATTCCATCAGATCGGGATGGTCCGTTCGCAGTGTTGTATAAGCATGGCTGGACGATTAACGGGCCTCTACATGTGAAGTTTAATAGTGAGAGAAACACTCTTGTCTGCAACAGAGTTTTCCTTTGCGAAAAGAGTTCCGTGAAGGAATGTCTAGCTCCGAGTACTATCGTAAGGATCTTCGAACGAGACTTCAGTGAGCAGGATCTCGGCAAAGTACCAAGGGAGAAGGGCTATTCAAGAGAAGATAGGAGATTTATGGAGACAGCAGAGGAACAGGTGAAATATGTCAATGGTCACTATGAGCGTCCATTACCATTCAGAGACGATAGATTATGTGCAAACAACAGGACTCAAGCAGAGAGCAGAGCGAAATGGCAAAGGAAGAAAATGCTCCACACTGAACAGTACTACAAGCATTATGTAGGTTTTGTTGATAATCTCCTTGAAAGGGCTTCGCGTACAAGATACCTGAAGATCAACTGTCACCTGAATCACAGAGAATTTGGTATCTTCCGCATGGAATCTATCACCCAAAAAAGCCAAGAAAGATCCGTGTGGTTTTCGACTGCAGCGCCAAGTATGAAGGAACATCATTGAACGACAGGCTTCTGCAAGGTCCAGACCTCACAAACTCTTTGATAGGTGTTCTGACAAGATTCAGAGCTGAACGGATAGCATTCATGGCAGACATAGAGTCCATGTTTTACCAGGTGAAGGTGCCAGTGACTCAACATAACAGCCTAAGACTTTTGTGGTGGCCAAACGGTGATCTCAACACTGACTTACAGGAATATAGAATGGGTGTTCATATCTTTGGAGCAGTCTCCTCTCCCAGCATATCCAACTTTGCATTGAAAGCCACAGCCAACAGAGCAGAACAAAGGTTTGGCAGTCTCGTACCTGATGCAATCAGAAAGAACTTTTACGTTAATGACTGTTTAAGATCTGTAGAAGATGACAAGACAGCTATAAAGCTAATCTATGACGTGACAGCCGCATGTGCACATGGGGGCTTCAAATTAACCAAGTTCACTTCAAATAGCAGAAACGTTTTGAAGTCAATCCCAGTTGGTGATCATTCCAAAGAGATTCAAACCCGTGACCTGGATTATGATGAACTACCAATTGAACGTGCTCTTAGGATGAAATGGTATGTAAATACAGACACATTTGGATTTTCCACCGACTTCATTGAGAAACCAGTCACACGTCGTGGTCTACTATCCACGGTTTCATCTCTGTATGATCCCCTCGGTATCGTTACACCTATCATTCTTCCCGCTAAGCGGATACTTCAAGAATTGTGTGCCAACAATGATCTGGACTGGGATGATGATATACCAGGAAAGTATGAAGTCTCATGGAAAAGGTGGCTGAAGGAGCTCAAGCTACTTGAAACACTGAAGATTGAACGATGCCTGAAGCCTCCTGAGTTCTGTAAAGTTATATCTAAACAGGTTCATGTGTTCTCTGATGCCAGCTCGGTAGGGTACGGCTGTGTAGCTTATCTTCGGCTTTCTGATGCTGAGCAAAATATCCATGTTGCTTTTCTAATGAGGAAATCAAGACTGACTCCTGTGAAACCTGTGAGTATTCCACATCTCGAGTTGACGGCCGCTACAGTCGCAGTTCAAATAGCTCAACGTATGCTGAAAGAACTTGATACAGATATTGATAGCGTGACGTACTTCACAGATTCAACAACTGTCCTGTATTATATCAACAGTGAGAAGAAGAGATACCCAGTATTTGTTGCTAATTGTGTGAGAATATGATAAGGGACTACTCTGCGCCAAAAGATTGGAAGTATGTAGAATCTGATGAGAACCCAGCGGATATAGCATCCAGAGGAGCTAGCACAGCACAACTACTGGCGCAATCAGACTGGTTTGAAGGACCACAATTCCTCTGGAGATCTGAATCAGAATGGAATCTGAAACAACCCGGACCGGCAGAATCTGTTGTAGAGGATACAGTTGCAACTACGTGTGTATCACCAACCAAGATGCAATGTGAAGGGCTTGACACTTTGTTTAAACATTATTCAAGTTGGTATCGTCTTAAGCGGGGCGTAGTCATATATCTCCAACTCATCAACAACATCCAAGCTCGTATCAGGAACAGAAAAGGTAAAGTTGAATCGGGGGGTATATAACAATAAACCGCTTTTCACAGCTGAGAAACTTGAATGTGCAGAGAATATCATGAAGTTTGTGCAGTCCAAGAGTTTCTACGAGGAAATCCATGTCCTTACAGCAGTAGGTGGCAGACTCAGCAAGTCTCAGATCCCAGATGAAATGAAGCACCAGATTCTTCTACCAAGCAAACATCATGTCACAAGCCTGTTCATACAAGACATACACAAGAAGCTTGGCCATATGGGACGAAATCATGTACTTTCGAAGCTACGAGAAAAGTATTGGGTCATCAGAGCGAACGCAACCGTGAGAAACATACCGTCCCATTGTGTCACCTGTCGAAGACTGAAAATGCCTCCATGTGAACAGAAGATGTCCGACCTACCATTCAGCAGAGTGAATCCAGCGCCGCCATTTACATACTCAGGTGTAGATTTCTTTGGCCTGGATACCATCAAAGAAGGTAGGAAACAGATGAAACGCTATGGAGCACTGTTCACATGTTTAGCGAGTAGAGCCATACACATCGAAACGGACAACTCTTTGGACACAGACTCATTCATACCTGCCTTGCATCTCTTTATAGCACGACGTGGACCTGTTAAAGAGATATGGTGTGACAATGGCACCAACTTCATTGGAGCTGCCAGAGAATTGAAAGAAGCACTAGCAGAACTTGATCAAAACAGCATCCACTCTCACCTACTGCAAGCCAACATCGACTGGAAGTTAAACCCGCCATCAGCCAGTCACATGGGCGGGGTATGGGAACACATAATAGGTTCTGCCGTGATAAGATTCTATCTCCCATGCTGTATGAGTTCGGAGACCGTTTGGATGACGAATCATACCGTACCCTCCTAAGCAAAGTAGAAGCCATCGTCAACTCCCGTCCACTCACCACAGTTTCCAGTGACGCCGCTGACCTGAACCCCCTAACGCCAAACCATTTGTTCATGATAAAATCCATCGTTTTCATCGCTCCACAAGGTAAATTTCAACGTGCTGGTGTCTACATGCGTCGGAGATGGAGAAGGATTCAGGATCTCGCAAATGTATTTTGGACAAGGTGGAGGAATGAATACCTGTATTCCCTACAAGAGAGACAAAAATGGAGTGCACCAAAACGCAACATTGAAATAGATGACATTGTACTCATCAAGGATGAAAATGCACACAGATCATGCTGGCCCATGGGACGAGTGATCAAAGTTGAGCCTGACAAACAGGGCTTTGTGAGAAGTGTGATACTGAAAACTCAAAGTACAGAACTGCGCAGACCTGTACACACACTAGTACTATTACTTCAAAAGACGAGTGAAAGATATGATGATGTGTGAAATTTTGTGAAAATTGACATTGTGTACGAATGTATGGCCAAAGTTATGGTCTGTATGTTATTTCGGATTGTTTCTGCATTGTGAGAAGTTTGTTGAACAATGTTGTTTAAGAGGCCGAGTGTGTTGATGCAGAAAAAATGTTCACTTCAATTAGTTTATAATTCCATGCACTAAAGATATTTGTTGTCAAAAGGTTATATTTTTATGTTGCAAAGTACAAAGTTCTAAAATAGTGTAGTAATTTACATTGTAAAATTTAGTTCAGATGAAGTTCAGAAAGTCTAGCTTGGCTATAACTGTTATTAGTTTTCCAAAAAGTATGATCATGATTGTCATAACAGATTACATGTACTTCCTCTTATTGTGAGTGTTGCCCCTCATCAGAGCACATGGCTTGTCACTGCCTCCATGTTGGAGACATTCAGCTGTTGTAGTTGGCATGAACACAAATGTGAGTGGCATTGTTTGCTATTGTAATATATTTCAAGGCATAATAAGGTAATATTATTTGAAGGTTTTGTTAATTGTACATTTTATTCATTTATCTTGTAACTGTTAATTTGAAGTAATTAACTTAGACTTGGCATGTACTTTGACTGTTAGGAATAATTTACTTAGCAAGTCTGTATTTCTGCTTTGTAGTTTTCTGAACCTCACCAAGCCAAAGAAAGAAGCCAAAGTGAAACTGAACGTATACGAGAATAAATTATTGGTGGGAGTAAAGAATTTTTGTGTCTTGCATCCACATCCCTTTTTCCAATACCGTATGGATAAAAAGTTGTGCTTTAATGACTCCTATCCACTACTACTTGCTGCGGTATTTGAAATTAACTCTAGCCTTAAAAATCTCCAATTTTCTATTTTAATGTTAAAGATTAATAGTCTCCAAAAAATTATTAGTAAGATTATGTACTAATTATAATTTGAGGCACGTGATAACCTCTGGCTTTCTTGTGCTGAGAAAGAATCTGACATTATAAAGGATAGTTGCACTGGAATATGAGAGTGCACAACATACATTAGATAGTTGTCCTTTAGTTTTAGTTCCGCGTTTTCGTTTACATCGATTCTTGCGTTGCTATTTCTTAAAATGTTTTCATGGCATCTGTTCTAAGTTCTGAAGAACATCCTTCTATCTTGAGGTAGGAAGTCGTGAATCACGTGTTTCCTGTAAAACTAGAGCCAAAACATGATCTTCCTGCCATGCATTAGGGCATGTTTATCCTTGGGTAGCGAGGATGAGAAACAGCAGAATCCGGTTGGCTCTGTACACAAACAACAGATGTTTTATACACAATAAACAGATAAGAGATCCGAATGTCCGATCACTCTAAATATTGCAATACATAAGTAAGTATGTATGTATGTATGTATGTATGTATGTATGTGTGTATGTATGTATGTATGTATGTATGTATGTATGTATGTATGTATGTATGTATGTATGTATGTATGTATGTATGTATGTATGTATGTATGCATGTATGTATGTTTGTGTATGTGCGTGTGTGTGTGCGTGCGCGTACGTGCGTGTGTGTCCGTAGTGTGTGAGTGAGTGAGTATGGCTTTACATCGCTTTTAGCAATATTCCAGCAATATCACGACGGGGGACACCAGAAATGGGATTCACACATTGTATTCATGTGGGTCTCTGGCGTGACGAGCGAACGCTTGAACCTCTAGACTACCACAACGCCCCTGTGTGTGTGCGAGCGTGCGTCCACCTCTAACTCCTTGCGGTTTCCTCCTATATCAACAACATCACCACCATATAAACAGTGTGTTCAGGCAATGTAAGCTTTGATTTAGAAATGTTTATGCAATCGTATCACGTGAAACTTGGGGATCACATCGTATCCCTGTTGGGTATAATAGATCGATAAATGTATTTGGTTTATTCACTGTATTTTGGGAGTTTTGGGGAACTAACTGAACCGCGCCAATCGACAGTCTCAGCTTTCAGTTGCCAGTCGTATGAACGTCCACCAGAGCACGATTTCCCGTCTCTGGGTGGGATATCACCGGCAGAACTCGGTGGAAGATGGACCTAGAAGTGGACGACCTCGAGGTACCACTGCAGCGCAAGATTCGTACATCCGGGTACATCATTTGCGTGATCGAACAGCTACAACGACCAGTACCGGTAGGCAAATAACCGGTTTGAGAAGAGTATCTGCCAGGCACAGACTGCGAGAGCAGGTTTAAGAGCTAGAAGACCGTACTTTGGCCCCGTGCAGCGTCATCAACATCGATAATATCGTGTTCAATGGTGAACCAATGTTCAGGCCTGGACCCTGGACAATTGGCGTCGAATCTGGTCCAGCGATGAATCGATATTTCAGTTGGAACGACGCGATGGATGAATGCGGGTGTACAGACGTTTTGATGACGCCTGCTGGGAAAGCGTGATGATGTGGGGAGCCATAACCTACACTACAACAAGTGAGTTGGTGTTATCCAAGGCAACCTGACAACGCAATGCTGTCCATAAGAGGCGACTAACGGGATCGGCTGGTCAGGCTCACTGACTGGACTGACACATGTCATCGTATCCCAGTTGTATAGATCGATGTTCATGCTGTTGATCACTGGATTGGCTGGTCCAGAGTCGATTATTGACAGACCGCCGCCATATAGCATTTCTGAACGCTAATGGTGGTCACACGAGATACTGACTTCAGCGCCACCAAAAGTCTGTATGTGACCCACTAACTGACTTTTCTCGAGATCTTATCAAGCAGTGATACTGTGACATTTCCCGTGTGAAATTTCTTTGAATTCCTTTTCCTATTAAATTCCATACGATGTATAAATTATAAGAGTAAATTGTAGTAAAAACCCTTACAGGCGTTTCTTTTTAGAAGGAATATGTCATAGAATTACTTATTTACAATGAAGGGATATTTTCACATCCGTTTTGTTCAGCTAAGTCATATTTATTCAAACACGAATGACAGGGGTAGGGAAGCCTATTGGTTAAAGCGTTTTCGCGTCACGCCGAGAACTGGGTTCGATTTTCTCCACAGGGCTACGAAGTCATTGTTAGGTGCCCCCGTACGTGATACTACTGCAATAGTGCTTAAAGTGGTGCTAAGGCTAGCTACTCGCTGCATCCCTTACCGTTAAAACGCAGTGAGTGAGTGGGTTTATATTCCAGGTATATGGACGCGGTCTGTCAATAATCGAGTCTGGACCAGACACTCCAATGATCAACAACATGAGCATCGATCTACGCAGTTGGGATACGGTGTCATGTGTCGACCAAGTCAGCAAACCCGACAGCTCGATCCCGTTAGTCGCCTCTTGCAACAAGCATCGGTTACTGAAGATCAGTATTCTAACCCGGATTTTCACGGGTCGTTAAACACAGAATAAACTTCAATTGTACCTGCTACAATACAGACACGACTGCATAGTGTGTTTACAGTGCGAGCAGAATAACCATTAAGTATAGTATAGTATATGCGGAAATAGAAATCAGACAACACAATGGCTTCTCTCGTAGGTCAAGGGTGATCCCGACTGAGAGACAAATACGGTTTCATGTGTTAACATTAGTTCCTTGTACAACAATATCACCATTTAACGTAGTGAGTGAGTGAGTGAGTATGGTTTTACGCCGCATTTATCAATATTCAAACAATATCACGGCGGGAGACACCAGACATGTACCCATGTGGGGAATCGAACCCGGGTCTTTCGGCGTGTTGAGCGAACACTTTAACCACAAGGCTACCCACTGCCCCGATTTGACGCAAGTACTGAGAAGGTAGATACATCAAGAAAACATGACGGTATAAAAACTTCAGCAATGTGACATTTGTTTCTTTATATTGATAATTATCGACCTACTGCTTGTAGAATATGGCATAAACAACCAGGCAATGTCATATGCTTATCTTTCCTTATTCACCATTAAGTATAGGCATTCTATATAGTGTTGAAATTTACATTATCAGTGAGAAATCGATGTGTACATGTACGACACCTACCTTTCTTCCGAATACGTGTTGTAGGGATGTTGCTTCGAATGTTGTCTGGATGAACATATACTGTGACACTGCTCATTGTATCACACTGTGGTCTATACCTAGCCCCTAAGCTGTGCATGTACCAAATCGAAACGAGGAAGTTGCCTTGACTCATGGGTATTCGAACGAAACGAAACCAGTACGAGCTAGGCTTAGTGAGCGTAATCCCAAATATAGCATTACGTACACGTGCGGCAGGTTTCATGCACTGTGATGAAATATAATTTCTTTCGTTTGAGGAACGAATTAGAATGAAATTTCTTTCTCCTGGCGTAGGAAGATACAACAAAGGGAGATAATGACTGTAGGGGGCGTTTAAAGGGGGTATATAAAGGGTGTAGAAGTGTGAATATGCCATTGTCGGTTACGGTGCACACAACATGGATGAGAGACCCATATCCCAGAAATTAGATGTCATTTTGAAAAAGATAAATACAAATATTCAACATGTACGTGTATGATATATGTATTTCTGTTTGTTATAGTGATGGGTGCGTCTTGAGAGACCTGTCGCCCAGTGGATGGCTCGTTGCCAGGTGATGGCTTGTTGCCTTGTAATGGCTTGTTGCCAGGTGAGGGCTTGTCGCCGATACGTTGTTGCGAAATGTGGAGAAGCTTGTCGCTTCATGCTGGCCTGTCGCCGATGTTGATGGCTTGTCACCGAGTTTGATGGCTTGTCGCAGAGTTGCAATATTGTCTCCGAGGAAGATGGCTTATCGCCGATGTGGATGGCGTGTCGGCGAGTTGAAATATTGTCGCCGTGATTTTGTTCATATGTTTAAGCAATATAAAATGTATAAATCTATGGTTGGTTTTGTACATGATTCTTTAATACATGTACTGTGTGATCAGGATATGTACATAAATATTATGTAAGTCATTGGTACAAATGATGCATGTATGAAAGTTTTTGATGTGTATTGACATGTGTGAAGATATTGCTATTAAACGGTTCGGTTCTCTGGTGGTGCACCGTATCCAATGCCATTGTGTGTCATGTCATTGTTGTGGAGGATGTAAGAACTAGGAGAAGCAAGCTGGTACGGTATGTTGCCATGCACGGTCGAGGACCATACCTGTCTTTGAAATAGAAGCGACTTAACCCTTTCCACATTCCTATATAAATACCAGTATCTATAAAGAGAACCGAGGGGTTTTTTTTACTTAATAAAGTGATCATAAAATGATAACATTGATATATTACTACATCCACTACTATTTCTACTACTACTACTACTACTACTACTACTACTGCTGCTGCTGCTGCTGCTGCTGCTCCTACTGGGTCGGTAGTCTAGTGGTTGAAACGTTCGCTCGTCACGCCGTAGAGCCGGGTTCGATTCCCCACATGGGTACAATGTGTGAAGTCAATTTCTGGCGTCCCCCGCCGTGATATTGCTGGAATAGTGCTAAAAGCGGCGTAAAACTATTTACTCATTATCTACTACACTACTACTACTACTACTACTACTACTACTACTACTACTACTATTAACTAACTACAATTAACAACATCTCATCAGTTCAATCAATCAAAACTTTATTTCCGTACAAAGGCAATCGGGCCCATATACAGACAGTTTCATACATTATAATACAATTTGCATATATGTATACACGCTCATCTGCATAGATGTATACAGGTAATCAGAACATACGATACAGGTTAATATGGATAAAGTAGATACAAAAGTATAATAAGGTATTTAATATTATCATTCTTGTAATAGCTTACATCTTCGTTCGTAAGAATGCATTATATATAGGCTGAGCATTATCAAACTATGTACGTTATTTGTCATAAGTAGTTTCTTAAAGTTATGCAAATTCGTTTTGAGTTTGTGAATGAGTTTTACACCGCTTTTAGCAATATTCCACCTATATTACGGCGAGGGACACCAGAAATGGGCTTCACACATTGTACCCATGTGGGGAATCGAACCCGGGTCTTCGACGTGACGAACGAACGCTTTAACCACTACGCTACCCCACCGCCCCAATATTCGTTTTGAAATCACTTGGTAAATATTTACGAAGTAAGTCATCATATCTAGGACAAATGAAAGTAAAATGGTATTCGTCTTCTAGACCTCCGTAACAGATAGGACATGTTCTCAATTTTACACCATCGTCCTTCATTAAATTTAAACCTTAGTAATCCTGTTCTAAATCTAACTACATATTTACGTAATTTATAATCTGCAATCTCAAAAAGGTATTTTTCAGGGTTTAACAAGCTTTTGAATTCTCTATACAAAATATAACGCTACCATGACCATTAAGTCTCTCCTAGCTGCCGCCTCACACTCAACAACCAGTTCTGTTACCGCTTCTACTACACCTACCACACAAACTGTAACCGGTTCACGTACATAACATCTCACGTTTCCGCGTCCACTAACGCTAAGACTATGTAACCATAGCTAGCGATAGACAGCAATGTCACATCTTCATTCGCCATGGTCGGATGGCGTCAGCAAACGTCCCACTTTACAGCCTTAGTTCAGGAAACACTTTCACTAATTTAGTCTCCCGTCAAGTTTCTTCTTGTGCGTTAATGTTTTACGATAAATCCACAAGTACAATGAATTCGACTGTAACTTTGTAGATTCTATTTCATATTTTTATTTAACATCTAATTGATTAGCGATACCGTTTCTATTGAATAATTAATTCATTAATTGAAACTGTATTGCTACAGGTTATACTTTTCAAGTAAGCTGACAGGGTTGCATTTGCTTCCTACAGCCCTAAAGCACAACACAGGTTTATGTGTTGCTCACTCAACAATATTCCAGCTGTATGGCAGTGGTCTGTAAATAACCAAGTGTGGACCAGACAATCAAGTGATCAACATCATGAGCATCGAACTACACAGTTGGGACACTTGTAACCCACCACCACTACTAGCTCCCACCTCCACTTGGTCTAGTAAAGTTGTCGCCTAACAAAGTCTTGCACACTGTGTTTACTGAAAACACAAAGCCTGAGAACGTGTAATCACAAATATAACAAAAGGACATTGGGTGGTTAGAAATCTTTATTTCACGTCTTGTTAGAAATGTTTACAAATAACAATTGTCCGCAACTATGTTTCAAAGCTACTTCTTGTCATCAAAAGAGAAAAGGGATATAAAAAAAGTATACTGTAAATTGTAACGTCACAGGCAATACTGCTCTATTTCAATCACAACCGATATAATGTGGAAGACCTGAAGGAGTCATATGAATTTTCTTGAGACTTTCTATACCACTCATCAAAGGCACGCGTTTTATCCAACCATATTGAATGTATGCATGTCAGCATCCAAAAAATTAAACTACAAAATACATTAAAGTTATCTGAAAACGATATGGCTTGTAATTGCCTTAATGATTTTTTCACATTTAAATTTTAAATCCTGAAGTATCCTGGAGTAATTACGTTTAAGATGTGCACGTGCATATTCATACATATAATGCAATAATATCATTACAAAATGAGTATTTAGGGTGTTCATATTTAAGTTCATATGGGATTTCTGATAGACATACAAGATTCAAGGATAGTACACATCGTTGAATGATCTTCGAGGGTCCTGTTTTCTTCCACTGGCGTGAATATGCGGCATGAAGTTGGTGTCGGACATGCGAGGTGAGTTCCTTCGAGCATGCCCAAGGTAGGGGCCTCTGTTGTAAGGCCTGTCGTCTCGGGGATCTAGTCTCTTTTTGTCGTCATTGGGCGGGTTGAGTTTCTGAAATGGGCAAAGAAATCGTGAATAGATACTCATGGAAACAAATAAGGGAACACATGAAAGTACAAGTGTTTCTGTTTTCTTTTCCAGAATTTTACCCACAGTGCAATACAAAGCTTGAGAAGAAACCTGGAAAAGAATAAAGGAACACTTGTACTTTCAGGTGTTCCATTATTCGTTTCTATGAGTATATCAACGAGGTATACCCAAACGTGATAGAGGTGCCATTGGTGGAATAAGGGGAGAAAACAGTAGTAATGATCCTGGATCATTCTGTGGGTATTCTAGCAATACAAGAGAGTGCTCTCGGGTGCAGTCTTTTCGCTGCCACTTGGTGTCATCACTGTTTGAGAGTGGTTCATAAACATCTGCTCTATCCCCGTATCTGATACTGTCAATAACTGGATTGTCTGGTCCAAACTCGAGTATTTATAGACATACAACATACAGATGTAGAAAGGTTTTGTGTTGAATATCTTGGATAACAGCATCAAATAATAATGCGCTATTTGTTCTTGCTTGGAGGACACATATTCATCTGTATAACAATCGCTGGATTGGTGGTAAAATGGAGTTCAATGGAGTTTTCTATTTTATGTTATTTTTGTACAGACCGAAGGGACTGAGAAACCACATCTTTAACATAGAAAACCCACTAAAACACAGTGTAAATCTTTGACCTTTTTAGTAGTATATGGAAAGGTGAACTATTAATTGAAATATGCATGACTAAAGGTTATTTATGAACACAAATATTGGTATTTCTGCTTCCATCCTCAGCAGTGACCGCATTGTTTTATGAAACTATGAGTGCATGTGGATTTCTGCTGCGTTTGATTCTCTTCATAAATTGTCACAGAATACACTAAAATGCGTTTTACTCATTTTACCATACTAGGGAATCAAACCAGGTCACTGGCCATGACAAGCATTATAACCAGTAGACTAGCCTAACACCTATCATCAAAATAGCACCTGTGTTGGTTCACAATTACTTCTTACCTTGGAAAGCTGCATACTCTTTATTTCCCTGATCTTGTAGATACCCACGATGACGCCAAGGAAGCACAAGACGACGCTGATGCAGACGACGATGATGACAACGTGGTCGGGAGCTGGAGCCGGAGCTGGAGGTGGAACAGCGCCTTGGCTGACCACCTCAGCTGCAAAATAAATACATTCACAGGTGATCAATGTTATCAGAATGTGTCCAGATGAAATTACTATTGCCCTTGCAAAACAGTTGGATTTGGTTGCGACATTGCAGATAAACTACCTAAAGGATGTTTGAAAATGGCTTATGTGACCATGTGGAACATATCAAAATGTTTCGCCTAGGGGAGGGTACGAGTTGTTTTGAGCCAACTGCAGACAAACAATAATATCAAACATTGAAGTAAGATCCAATAAACCAGTTAAAATGGCAGCCAAATCCAAGGCACCCTTACCAGCACATTTGTTGCTGAAACAGATTCTTTGAGTTGACACCATGGGCGTTGTGTCATGCTTGGAGATACTCTTGTCAGCCGCATTGTATCCGCCACCACCAACAGGGAAGATCAAGTATGGACAGTCGGTGTCGGGTGAATGTAAAATCTTCATCTCGACCGGTATTTCTTTTACGAGAGAAGGTAATCTCAGTGACACCATCGACTAGTGTCCCCCGAGTATTCATCAGGTTCTGTTCAGCATCCAGGGCAGGTGGGCTGTACCCAGTGATGTGCCTTAGGGGGAAGAAACAAATCATATAGAGTGGGTTGTGTTTAAAGAGGTTTAATATTGATCACTGAACTGATGCGTGTCCCAGATGCTTACCGCTACGATGAAACCCGACGACGCCATCATAACAAACCATTCGTGAGAGTAAGTGAGTTTCGTGTTACGCCGCATTCAGCAATATTCTAACTATATGGCGGCGGTCTGTCAATAATCGAGTCTGAACCAGACAATCCAGTGATCAACAGCATGAGCATCGATCTGCGCAATTGGGAACCAATGACATGTGTCAAACAAGTCAGCGAGCCTGATCACCCGATCCCGTTAGTTGCCTCTTACGACCAGCATGGGTTACTGAAGATCAATATTCTAAGCCGGACATTCACGGGTCAAACCATTCGTAATTGTACTGAATCTCAACATGTATAGACACTTTTGGGATTTTTAATATGATAATTACTATTAATTACATACTATTCCCAGTTTTATTTTATAAGTCCGACCATATGCAATCCTGACACCATAGATTTGCTTAGTTATAGCTCCTCCATACAACTGAAAAACGGTTGACTGGATGACCCATAATGTATTTCTGTCAGAAGGATACATCGGGAACTGAATTCAGGAAAAGAAAATGGACAGTTACCTGTTTGAAACATAGACACTTGATCCTTCCACCCATCCTATGACAGCATCAGTTTTGTCCTGAAAAAAATGTTTGTGCACATCGTAATGTCTATTTTTCATATTTAACATTACAACTAAATTATTCAATTATAACTAGTATTAATTTGACTAAAGGAGATGATAACTGGTGTTTTGAGATGGGAGGACACCATCAACGTCTCGCAGATGATCATATCAAAGATGAAGGAATTGTTCAATAGGGGATTGAAGGTGATTCGGTCATTGACCGTACGTAACGTGTCAATATATGTGCACAGCACAGCACAGCACAGCAGCAGCACAGCACAGCACCAGCACCAGAGCCAGCACTGCACAACGCCACAACACAATCACACACAATGTTTTCTCTTCGCACATATCCTGAATATGCTGACATGTACTGTACGAGGTCTGGGAGGGTTACAGGTATACACGCGGACTACCTGAAGCATTCATTGCAAGCTGAATCAACATTGGTCTGTGGTTGCTAGCAGTTTGTGGCCATCCATCGATCATGTATTGAAAAGTAAATATAAAATCTAATGTCCGAAAAACTTACCATCTGACCACTTGGGGAGAACCCAAGTCCTATCCATTTCTGTTGGCCATTTAACCTGGCGATGATGGTGAAGGTTACCTCATCTTTAACGGAGTCCACAACCCACTTGACTTGATACGGGCAGTTATTACAGACGGCAGGCCACTGGCCTGTACACTTGCCTTGAAACATGTTCCCGTTACCTTTCGTGAAAACAATAAAGATCATATAATGTGTCGCTTAATAGTAACAGACTTCATACAGGTATACCAGATAACAGTCAGTTTTAATACTAGACCGTGACGGACATTAACGGAAATTGTTTTCCTGTACTTAATTATAATCTTTAACTTGGAATTATGAATATTCAAGGAACATGGTACAGTCAAACTTTGCCAATAAGGAAATCCCACTTTCAGAACTATTCACCCAGGAATACTTTCATTAACAAACAAGGTTATTACTCAGTAATAATGAAATAGTTGAGTACATGTAAATCCGTATTTCATTGGGACGATAATACCTGTGTTTACGTCATTCACAAAGATGAAGTGAGCGATGTTAAATTAAAGACCCTGATAGTAACTACAAACCTGATAGTAATGAGTTCCCAGGCTATGCCAATTTGGAGTAATGAGTGCCCAGGTTATGTCAATTTGGAGTAATGAGTGCCCAGGTTATGTCAATTAGCAAGTGGTAATGACTATACACATTCCCACATGTAGGGGATAGCAGTAGTACCTTGTTGTTGGGCACCCTTCACTACTGGATAGGACGTATCAAGGGTGTGTCCTGCAACACTTCCCAGAGTCTGCACAGACGTGAAGAATTTCAGGGAATCTTCTTGGAAGGTCTGATTGCTCTCTGTATTGGAGGTAACTAGGAAGTCGGCTATGACACTTCCTTCCCTGAAGAAGATACATCATGACGGATTCAACAATAAGAGTACCGGTATGTCAAGAAACACTGATATATGAAATAAATATGACAATATGCTTTACATAAGTTAGCTTTAAAAGACAGAAGTGGGTTATTGCAAATTATCGGTTTTAAAACCACACATTAATTCATTTCTAATAATTAATAATTTTGAACATAAAAAGTACAAAGTTTCTTGTTATGTTTTAGCTTAGTCATGTGTAACGTTACAACCAAATGAACATTAAGTGACAATTACTAACCGTAGATTGATAACTTCAATTTTCTGCACTGTACTCGGTTTCGGCAGGAGATTCATCTGAAATAACGGACATAATAGTGGCAAACGGCAGGGTGTTGAGAAGGAAAAGTTAATGCCTTTAAAACATATACTTCCAGCTATGTATACTGTAATAGTAGAGGATCCAATTTCCAATACAGTTATACACTATACTACTCAAAAGAAATACAGGAATCCCGATTTTTCCAAGAAGACTGTAGTAAACCGGCTCCTGGCTTGGCGCCCAGCCTTACAAATATTCGTGTTCTAAACTTGTTTTGAGTTTTATATATATTTTAATATATATTCCTTAATACCTCTTTATCTAATTGGCTTTTCAGTAGGATGAAGACATTGGACATCTTGTTGGCGAAGTCGGTTGTGTACTGCAGGTTTGGAAACCGCAGGGAAGCTGTGAACTGAAACGTTGGTTTTGTTGCTGCAAATAAACAGAGTGATTCCCTTTATTTGATGAGGTCCAGTAGGTTGTGATTATTATGGTTACTGAATCAATGGCAACTGGAAAATCAGCATATATCCAGAAAGGACGGGATGGACGTTTTGCCTGAACAACATCAGTATGGTGAGGTCAATATGGATGAATTACTAAGTCACGGAGCCTGAGCGCCGGATCCTGTTAGTAGCTTCTTCGACTGACAGGTCTGGACCAGACAATCCAGTGATCAACATCATTAGCATCGATCTACGCAACTGTATCAACCAAGTCACCGACCCCGACCATCCGATCCCGTTAGTCGCCTCTTACGACAAGCATGGGTTGCTTAAGACCATTTCTAACCCAGATCTGCACGGGTCTGGAAACAATAAACGTACCATTATTAGCACATGTACTGCTGAAACAGATTCTTTGAGCTGACACCTCGGGCGTTGTGTCATGCTTGGAGATACTCTTGTCAGCTGCGTTGTAGCCGCCGCCGCCAACGGGGAAGATCAAGAATGGACAGTCGGTGTCGGTGAAGGTAAAATCTTGAAGTCCACCAGTATTTCTTTTACGAGAGAAGGTAATCTCAGTGACACCGTCGACTAGCGTTCCCCGAGCATCCAGCAGGTCCTGCTGTGCGTCAATTACAGGTGGGTTATACCCGGTGATGTGCCTGAGCAAACAATATCGATATCACACGATTAGAACATTGAAAAAAAAGGGATAAAGAACATCAAGATATTTGTGTGCACACCGATTTGTGTCTCCATCGACACAGGATGAAGTCAGTTCTTATAAATATATATGATTAATTCAAAGACCATTAATCGCACCATCCACACAAAACCTGAAGACACAGGAAGGTATATGTGACAGCCTTCGTCACAGCGTGCAACACCATCTCTCACATTCAATCATCAACCCATTCTATCTTAAGAAAAGAGTAATATTTGCCATTTTACGATATATGAACAAATCATATTTAGGCAATCAAATGGCAAAGAATTATTTGAAATTGTGAAGAAATTCTTGGATCGGCAAAGGGAATGTTACGTTGAACCGTCGTTTGAATTTAGTGTTTTATGTTTTACATAATCTTTATAGATTACTGAAGTAATATTCCTTGTATTCTGAGATATTCAACAGAATAGCCCTAACATCAGATTTGGTCCAAACGGGTTCCCCTGTATCACCTTTACTTTGGGCTGATATATCACTGAGAAGACCTGTATAGCAGGCAGAGGAACAACCCCTGACGCCCAGTATGGTGCCACATAAACAGCGCGGCGACATTTCACAAACAACCAATCCTCATTGTTGTCTCTTATCATTACATTAGCTGCTGGAACTTTCCTTGATTGAAGTAAATGGATTTAACATAGCAATGCCAGAATGACAACAACTATATCTTCGAGTGAAACACTTTGAGTGAACCATACCTATCTGAGTGAACCGTACCTCAATTGTGGACCATACTTATCTGAGTGAGCCATACCTGACTGAGTGAACCATACCTGTCTGAGTGAACAAGACCTGTCTGAGTGAGCCATACCTGTCCGAGTGAACCATACCTAAATGTGTGAACCATACCTGTCTGAGTGAACCATAGCTGTCCGAGTGAACCATACCTCAATGTGTGAACCATACCTGTCTTAGTGAACCATACCTGTCTGAGTGAACCATACATGTGTGAGTGAACCATACCTGTCTGAGTGAACCATACCTGTTTGAGTGAACCATACCTATCTGAGTGAACCATGCCTATCTGAGTGAGCCATACCTGTCTGAGTGAACCATACCTGTCCAAGTGAACCATACCTGTCTGAGTGAACCATACATGTCTGAGTGAACCATACCTATCTAAGTGAACCATACCTATCTGAATGAACCATACCTGTCTGAGCGAAGCATACCTCAATGTGTGAACCATACCTGTCTGAGTGAACAATACCTGTCTGAGTGAACCATACCAATCTGAGTGAACCATACCTGTCTGAGTGAACCATACCTATCTGAGTGAACCATACCTGTCTGAGTGAACCATTCCTATCTGAGTGAACCATACATGTCTGAGTGAACCATACCTGTCTGAGTGAACCATACCTGTCTGAGTGAACAATACCTGTCTAAGTGAACCATACCTGTCTGAGTGAACCATAGCTGTCTGAGTGAACCATACCTATCAGAGTGAACCATACCTGTTTGAGTGAACCATACCGGTCTGAGTAAACCATACCTATCTGAGTGAGCCATACCTGTCTGAGTGAGCCATATCTATCTGAGTGAACAATACCTATCTGAGTGAACCATACCTATCAGAGTGAACCATACCTGTTTGAGTGAACCATACCTGTCTGAGTGAACCATGGCTGTCCGAGTGAACCATACCTCAATGCGTGAACCATACCTGTCTTAGTGAACCATACCTGTCTAAGTGAACCATACATGTGTGAGTGAACCATACCTGTCTGAGTGAAGCATACCTGTTTGATTGAACCATACCTATCTGAGTGAACCATGCCTATCTGAGTGAGCCATACCTGTCTGAGTGAACCATACATGTCTGAGTGAACCATACCTGTCTGAGTGAACCATACCTGTCTGAGTGAACCATACCTGTTTGATTGAACCATGCCTATCTGAGTGAGCCATACCTATCTGAGTGAGCCATACCTGTCTAAGTGAACCATACCTATCTGAGTGAACCATACATGTCTGAGTGAACCATACCTATCTAAGTGAACCATACCTATCTGAATGAACCATACCTGTCTGAGCGAAGCATACCTGTCTGAGTGAACCATACCTATCTGAGTGAACCATACCTGTCTGAGTGAACCATTCCTATCTGAGTGAACCATACATGTCTGAGTGAACCATACCTGTCTGAGTTAACCATACCTGTCTGAGTGAACCATACCTGTCTAAGTGAACCATACCTGTCTAAGTGAACCATACATGTCTGAGTGAACCATACCTATCAGAGTGAACCATACCTGTTTGAGTGAACCATATCGGTCTGAGTAAACCATACCTATCTGAGTGAGCCATACCTGTCTGAGTGAGCCATATCTATCTGAGTGAACAATACCTATCTGAGTGAACCATACCTATCTCAGTGAACCATACCTGTCTGAGTGAACCATACCTGTCTGAGTGAACCATACCTATCTGAGTGAACCATGCCTGTTTGAGTGAACCATTCCTATCTGAGTAAACCATACCTATCTGAGTGTACCATACCTGTTTGAGTGAACCATACCTATCTGAGTGAACGATACCTATCTGAATGAACCATACCTGTCTGAGTGAACCATACCTGTCTGACACGTAAACGTTGGAACCATCAACCCAACCGATGACAGCATCCGAGTTACTCTGAAAGGGGAAATATATTGCAGTGAACTTAGGCGTTACATTTAACGTTTTCTTTTTTAACAATAGTTTTGCACACCTTCTTCCTTGGGCATTTCATAATCTAAATCAATAAACACGTATGTGTATTCACAATTAAACCTGTCAATATCGGTGTAAACGGTTATATTACGATATAATGAACGCCTTGACATCGAATATTGTGACATGAAACGCAGAACCAGCAGTTCAGTATCAAATTCATAGCTGCTTTGATGACAATGACTGCAAGTTATATTCATTATTATTCGGCCAAACTGATTTCGCTTCACCATCATACACAATCCAGTCCGGTAATTCAACGCGTCCGGTAATTCTGCGCTGCAATAGCGTACTTCCGTATCGATGGTTGACATCGTCTGCTACCACATTAACGATTGAAATCAAGACATTTCTAGCTTTTAATCACTAAAGGTAAGTAAATAACAGTAAGTAAGTGACAGATAAATTGACAGTTTCATGAAAATTCGTTTTCTTCAGACTTTTAAACCTTTTCCTTAATGAAACACTCTTCCTTACATTGATGAAGTGATTTTTGAAAAGAATCTGGCCCTAATACGCTTCCATACTTCGGATCTCCAGCTGGATGTTATGCGCATCAGTTGCTGCGCAGAATTACCGGACAGCGAGCGATGTCGTCAGAACGCCGGTAATGTCAACGGTATGGCATAATGCAACGTTAGAATCTTATAGTCGTCAATAAAATTTATATTTCTAGGTTAATATGATGCATACAAGCATGTTTAGTCACGTAAACCACAAAAATAAGAGACATATTTATCAGACATAAATACATATCAGACAAACTTACTATTAGTGTATTTATAACACATTGTAAACCAAAAGTCATTGTGTTCTTTAATCTGATTGGTTGAAAAACGTGATCAAATGGTATTTGATTCCCGGAAATTCTCTGCGTATTAATACATTCAAACATCGCTCACACCATTGTATTGTTACGTCGTCAGCTGAGATGACGTCATTCAAATAATATTGTGACGTAAAGTCCGAATGACGTCACAAATGAGCAGTTCCAGATGCTACCATGGGAGACAGCCGAAGCGGCCGGCTGATGATATTGCACTGCTGTACCCGTACTCGATGTCAATGAGTGCAGACACAAAAACGTGTGTGGACCTTTTGGTTTACTTTTGTGTTTACAATGTCGATAAACATTATGTGTTGGCCAATTTCCGGGTGTTATTGAGTATTTGAAGCACGGGAATTCATTTGGAACCGATGGCGTCAGCCGGAGGTTTCAAATGGAATATTCCCGTGCTTCAAATACTCAATAACACCCGGAAATTGGCCAACACATGATGTTTATCTCCTAAGTAACATACTGTAAACAAATATCCTCATCATTAAAACAATGAAAGTGTGACCTTAAATATTAAGATTTTATGTTGAGGAAATCAATCAGATCCAACGAAGAACAGTAAATAATGGTTACAATGTTAAAACTGCACATTTTTATTTAAGACCTACCATTCTTCCTGTTGGTGAGAATGCAAGTCCAATCCATTTCTTCTGACCCTCCAACCTGGCGGTAACGGTGAAGTTGACTACATCATTGGCAACATCAACGACCCATTTCACTTGATATTTGCAACCCTCACACACAGCTGGCCACTGACCCATACAGCCTTCTGGCATATCTATAGGTTCTTCTGAAAAGCAATTGAAGAGCGTGTTAATGACATGTTTTGTGCTTATCTAGTCCTATAGCTTCAAAAGCCTGCAACAGCTTCTTTAGGGATTCTATTGAACATAGACAAGACGTATACAGCTAAATGGTTCTAATGTTACCACTGGACAAATTAGGGTTCATCGCCATGAATTAATGGAAACACACTCATTGCGATATCTTTAATCAAATAAGGCACAATTAATAATTCGAATGCACGTTGTGGGAGAAAGGAACATATCTAATATATTCACAATAGTTGGATAAGGCTCATTATATAGTCAGCATCGGTCATTGAAACTATTTAACGTTCCACATATCATTTATGTATATCAATCAGGTGATTATCAGAGGGAAAATAATAAAAGTGACAAACCTGGCTGGACATCCGACTTGACTAAGGGATAGGAAGGATCCACACGATAAGCACCAACATTACCAAGAGCCTTAACAGACTTGAAGAATGTCCTTACATCGCCTTGAAAGGTTTCATTGTTCGTTGCGTTTTGGGACGATTTTACCAGAAAGTCAGCAATAATACTTCCATTCCTGGAAGATTTTACAAAGAAGTGACATTATTCAAAATTGTCAAAAGCAGACAGGTTTCTTCTAGTTAAGTTCGAAACAATAAACATAACATGGCCTGCAATGCTATAAAAATTCATCTTTCCTTTCATTATGAAAAAAATAAGACATCAAGTTAATATCGAGGTATTATTATGCTTTGGGATTATGTGGAATAATCGGAAAAATAATACGTACAACCGTTTTGTTGTTAACTTTCTCTTAAGGCACATGATTGCAATCTCGTTTGTGTTTTGTACTTGTAGTGGAATATATAACAAATTCTAATTCAACTGAGTATGTAACACGAGTTCTGATTGGTCGCGTCGCCGATATAACTAAATTTGCGGTATAGCCACCGGTACACCTCCCCAATTCGTCAAACACAGTACAGTTATCCCCTGAGTAATAACCCTTTTAGACAATATGTACAATGTCCTTACCTTAAGTTGATTACTTCAATACTTTTGATACTTATTGGTGTCAGTAAATCCTTCATCTGAAAGGAAACACGTTGTCATTTCATTGAATATGCCATGTTTCTGAAGTCAAAATTTCAAAGAATCATTTTAGGTGTATTTTTGGCAATTGCTAATGTTACGAACTTTCGTTTATAAACACGAAGAATGCGATAACGCTTCAATGAACAGGAGACTGAATATGTACCGATCATCGTTCAAAGCAGGTTTAACAGTTTGTGTGAACAAATATCTCAGAATGATTAGTAGCCACAGGACCTTTACGAACAGAGACTGAAGTTACGAATCTCTTATGATGTTCACTCGGTCATGAGTCCCGTATTAGTAAACTTATATGCTAATGGACCTAACGTGGTTATAAAAAAAACCCGAACATATATTATAATACTCAATCATGAGGCAGTTTAGTTAACAAATTCATATTTAGGCTCTCTGTCATCAATGTCATCCATATACACACGATTAAAAATACATTTCTCCAACAATGTCTAACTTGTAAATAATGTGCTCCATGTAAGGTCATGTAAATGCCTCCGGATTCAATATGTTTCACCATGACACACTTGATTCCCTCCCAACTTCCCAAGAAGTCTCTACAGTCCTCTTACCTCTTTGTCTAACGTATCCTTCAGTAGCAAGTAAACATTTGACATCTTGTTAGCGTATTCGGTCGTGTATTGAAGACTTGGGAACCTCAAGGCGACGATGAACTCATATGTCGGTTTGGGTTCTATAAAGAGGAACATGTTTGAATTCAGGTTCACCACATTTTGTGCTGTTTGTAGATTTGCCATTCTTGAAACAAAGCATTGACACGTTTAATATGTAAGATAAACCGTGTTCCCAGTGGTAATGTAAAGGAAGTCTGTATAATAGCATCTTTGAGTACCTTTGCTAGCGCATGCACTGCTGAAGCAGATTCTTTGAGCCGACACGGATGGTGTAATGTCATGTCTGGATACACTCCTGTCTGCTGCGTTGTAGTTGCCACCACCCACAGGGAACAGCAAGTACGGACAGTCAGTATCGGTGAAGGTGAAATCTTGAGTCTGGCTGGTATTTCTTGGACGTGAGAACTTTATCTCAGTGACACCATTTTCTGTTGTCCCTCGTTTACCAAACAGGTCGTCCTCGGTATCTATTGCAGGTGGGCTGTAGCCAACTATGTATCTAGGTAAAAAACATACATCATATTAGTCTTTACAATCTACTAGGAAAACTAAGTTACCTGAAATGGTTGGAGCATGATCGTATTGATTTATATGAACATGACCATGACAATGTTGTACCGATTGGGCTGAAATAGTATCATCAAATCTTATGTATCAATGTAGAATATTTCCTTTCGTGAATGATATAATTACCATAGTCTCTTCTCATTTGAACGAAAAATATTGTATACGGTGCCATTCCTTTTTTTGTCTAGTACTTGAATACCACATTTCTCCTGATCAAAACACAAAACCTTACATTGTTACAGTCGGGCAAGTTTACATGTCAGCTATTTCTACCTGTCTGAGATGTAAACGTTGGAACCATCCACCCAGCCGATAACTGCATCCGAGTTACTCTGCAAAGAATCAGCATTACAAGTGTAACATGGTCTTTGCTACAAGAATTGGAATTTAGGTTTAGGATATTCATCGTTTGTAGCAAAATTATCCCTGAATAGTAGCAATGATATTAAATATCTCATCCCATAGAATATAACATCAGTAAATGCAGGTAATCAATATCTATACCATCAAAGGTTATATTGAACACATGAACATCAATAGTTTAGGCCTACCATTCTCCCTGTTGGTGAGAATGCAAGTCCAATCCATTTCTTCTGACCCTCCAACCTGGCGGTAATGGTGAAGTTTACTACGTCATTGGCAACATCAACGACCCATTTCACTTGGTACCTGCAATCGTCACAGACGGCTGGCCACTGACCCATACAGCCTTCTGGCATCTCTGTAGGTTCTTCTGAAAAGACAATATAGAAGCATGTTTAATGACATATGTTTTTTGTGCTCATCTAGACCTATAAATTGTAAAAAGACTGCAACAACTTCTTTAGTGGAATCTATTGAACATAAACAAATGTACAGTTGAATGGTTCAATTGTTACTACTGGACAGATTGGGACACCTCGAACTAAATTCATGGATTTATTTCCATTGCAATTTTTGTTATTAATGACACAGAATCCTTCATTTCATTGCACATCACTGATGGTAGTAGGATATAGGTCATTTAAATCAAAGTCATGAACAATCATGTTAAACATATTGTGTTTTCTTCATATATCTGAACAAAAATGACAAACCTGGCTGGACATCCGACTTGACTAAGGGATAGGAAGGATCCACACGATAAGCGCCAACATTACCAAGAACCTTAACAGACTTGAAGAATGTCCTTACATCGCCTTGAAAGGTTTCATTGTTCGTTGCATTTTGGGACGATTTTACCTGAAAGTCAGCAATAATGCTTCCATTCCTGGAAGAGAATTTACAGATTTTACAAAAGAGTGACACTTATCTAAAATTGTCAAAAGTGCACGTTGTATATCTAGTTATGTTCGAAACAATAAACATCACGCGTCTTTAAATGCTATAATATTTCATCTATCCTTTTATCATAAAAAGGTCAGTTATGGTATGTCTCGAGAAAACAATCAATTATTGTGTTATTGTATTACGTGGAATAGTTCAGAAAGTAATAGGTGCAACATATACACTGTAAAGTGTCTGTTTAGGTGCATTATTGCATTTCCATTTTTGTGCTGTTTAGAAGAAGTGGAATATGATAGAGAATATGAACTAATTTACACAATGTACAGATTGCCCTTGCCTTAAGTTGATTACTTCAATACTTTTGATACTTTTTGGTGTCAGTAAGTCCTTCATCTGAAAGGAACACATTTTCAATTGATGAAATATGCTATGATTCAGAAGTAACTTAACAGATTTAACAGCTTGTGTGAACAAATATCTCAAAATGATTAGAACACACGGGACCTGTAAGAACAGAGGCTGAAGAGTCACGAATGTCTTATGACATTTACTCGGTTATGAGTCATGTATTAAATAAATAAATTATGAATAAATAAAGTTAATATTTGTATAGTGCCTGTTCCAACGTATTGCTCAAGGGCGTTTAGGCGAAGGCTATGTTGAACAAGTGGGTTTTCAGTTGTCGTTTGAAACTGGTCGAGATTGACAATGTCCTAAATGTGTCGAGGAAGGCGGTTCCAGAGCCCGGGGTATTAGAACCCTGTATGCTAATGGAACTAATATGTTTATGAAAGAATGGACAAATTACATAAAACTAAATCATAGGGCATTTAAATAACAAACTTAGGTTTAAGATCACTATCATCAATGTCATCCATATATACACGATTAAAATACATTTCCCCCTGAATGTCTATGTTATCATCGACTCAATATTGTGCACCATGTTAGGTGATGTAAATGCCTCCAGTTTCAAAGATGTTTCACCTACATCACAATACACTTGACCGAAATCAAATTCCCAAGAAATCTCTAAAGTCGTCTTACCTCTTTTTCAATTGAGTCCTTCAGAAGCAAGTAAACATTTGACATCTTATTAGCGTATTCGGGTGAGTATTGGAGACTTGGGAACCGCAAGGAGACGATGAACTCGAAAGTCGGTTTGGGGTTCTATAAAGAGGAGCATGTTTGAATACAGCAACACAAACTTTTGCACTATTTGAGGATGTGAAAATTCTTAAAACAAAATATTGACATTCTTGTCAATATAAGATGAAATGTTTCAGAGTGGTGTTATGAGAGTATGTTTTTTTAATTGTAATATCACATTGATTAACTGACAGTTCTTATGGGTTATAAAGTTTTGAGTGTGGATTTTGCGGTACGCCTTTTGAGATAGCGCTTTGGAGTTATCTGCCATTGGCTGGCTTGTTTGTTTGTTTTGACTTCTGGTAATAGTTGTCAAGGTGTCTTGTGTTTTCGATGGCATTTTATAACGTTCTGAGAGGATATTGATGTAGCCTTGCTTTGCTTGAATGCTCGAGAACAGTGTAAAAGCTATGTAAAGGATGATTGTTGAGTTGTTTCGGGGACTTCGGACTTATACAATCTGTCTGCCATCATCAAGTTTATCAACGTTACAAGACCGACCGTGCTTGTCTATTCAACTGCAGTCACTGTCAACAACCTTCAATCAGTACATCTGTTCTCACTGTGAACGTCAAGACTCTGGTTAGATTGTGACCCAATATTTTAGATTTGTGACTCAATTGCATTGTACTAGATATCTGTACTGTCATTCATTGTAACCTTGGTCATGGCTTATTCAATATACAGTTGAATATTATAGACGTGTCTTTGTTGTATTTTGCTTTTTGAAAGGGGACTCGGGAACCTTTTACGACAGAAATTCTCTAACCGTAACAGTGGTAACATATAGGAAGTCTGTAGAATAACATCTTTGAGTACCTTTGCTAGCGCATGCACTGCTGAAGCAGATTTTTTGAGCCGACACGGATGGTGTAATGTCATGTTTGGATACACTCTTGTCTGCTGCGTTATAGTTGCCACCACCCACAGGGAACAGCAAGTACGGACAGTCAGTATCGGTGAAGGTGAAATCTTGAGTCTGGCTGGTATTTCTTGGACGTGAGAACTTTATCTCAGTGACACCATTTTCTGTTGTCCCTCGTTTACCAAACAGGTCGTCCTCGGTATCTATTGCAGGTGGGCTGTAGCCAACTATATATCTAGGTAAAAACATACATCATATTAGTCTTTACAATCTACTAGGAAAACTAAGTTACCTGAAATGGTTGGAGCATGATCGTATTGATTTATATGAACATGACCATGACAATGTTGTACCGATTGGGCTGAAATAGTATCATCAAATCTTATGTATCAATGTAGAATATTTCCTCTCGTGAATGATATAATTACCATAGTCTCTTCTCATTTGAACGAAAAATATTGTATACGGTGCCATTCCTTGTTTGTCTAGTACTTGAATACCACATTTCTCCTGATCAAAACACAAAACCTTACATTGTTACAGTCGGGCAAGTTTACATGTCAGCTATTCCTACCTGTCTGAGATGTAAACGTTGGAACCATCCACCCAGCCGATAACTGCATCCGAGTTACTCTGCAAAGAATCAGCATTACAAGTGTAACATGGTCTTTGCTACAAGAATTGGAATTTAGGTTTAGGATATTCATCGTTTGTAGCAAAATTATCCCTGAATAGTAGCAATGATATTAAATATCTCATCCCATAGAATATAACATCAGTAAATGCAGGTAATCAATATCTATACCATCAAAGGTTATATTGAACACATGGACATCAATAGTTTAGGCCTACCATTCTCCCTGTTGGTGAGAATGCAAGTCCAATCCATTTCTTCTGACCCTCCAACCTGGCGGTAATGGTGAAGTTTACTACGTCATTGACAACATCAACGACCCATTTCACTTGGTACCTGCAATCGTCACAGACGGCTGGCCACTGACCCATACAGCCTTCTGGCATCTCTGTAGGTTCTTCTGAAAAGACAATATAGAAGCATGTTTAATGACATATGTTTCTTTGTGCTTGCCTAGACCTATACATTTCAAAGACTGCAATAACCTCTTCGTGGAATCGTGAACATAAACAAATGTACAGTTGAATGGTTCAATTGTTACTACTGGACAGATTGGGACACCTCGAACTAAATTCATGGATTTATTTCCATTGCAATTTTTGTTATTAATGACACAGAATCCTTCATTTCATTGCAAATCACTGATGGTAGTAGGATATAGGTCTTAATAAAGTCATGAACAATCATTTAAACATTTTGTGTTTTCTTATATATCTGAGAAAATGACAAACCTGGCTGGACATCCGACTTGACTAAGGGATAGGAAGGATCCACACGATAAGCGCCAACATTACCAAGAGCCTTAACAGACTTGAAGAATGTCCTTACATCGCCTTGAAAGGTTTCATTGTTCGTTGCATTTTGGGACGATTTTACCACAAAGTCAGCAATAATACTTCCATTCCTGGAAGAGAAATTACAGATTTTACAAAAGAGTGACACTTATCTTAAATTGTCAAAAGGGCACGTTGTATATCTAGTTATGTTCGAAACAATAAACATAACGTGTCTTTAAATGCTAATATTCCATCTATCCTTTTATCATAAAAAGGTCAGTTATATGTCTCGAGAAAACAATCAATTATTGTGTTATTGTATTACGTGGAATAGTTCAGAAAGTAATAGGTGCAACATATACACTGTAAAGTGTCTGTTTAGGTGCATTATTGCATTTCCATTTTTGTGCTGTTTAGAAGAAGTGGAATATGATAGAGAATATGAACTAATTTACACAATGTACAGATTGCCCTTGCCTTAAGTTGATTACTTCAATACTTTTGATACTTTTTGGTGTCAGTAAGTCCTTCATCTGAAAGGAACACATTTTCAATTGATGAAATATGCTATGATTCAGAAGTAACTTAACAGATTTAACAGCTTGTGTGAACAAATATCTCAAAATGATTAGAACACACGGGACCTGTAAGAACAGAGGCTGAAGAGTCACGAATGTCTTATGACATTTACTCGGTTATGAGTCATGTATTAAATAAATAAATTATGAATAAATAAAGTTAATATTTGTATAGTGCCTGTTCCAACGTATTGCTCAAAGGGCGTTTAGGCGAAGGCTATGTTGAACAAGTGGGTTTTCAGTTGTCGTTTGAAACTGGTCGAGATTGACAATGTCCTAAATGTGTCGAGGAAGGCGGTTCCAGAGCCCGGGGTATTAGAACCCTGCATGCTAATGGAACTAATATGTTTATGAAAGAATGGACAAATTACATAAAACTAAATCATAGGGCATTTAAATAACAAACTTAGGTTTAAGATCACTATCATCAATGTCATCCATATATACACGATTAAAATACATTTCCCCCTGAATGTCTATGTTATCATCGACTCAATATTGTGCACCATGTTAGGTGATGTAAATGCCTCCACTTTCAAAGATGTTTCACCTACATCACAATACACTTGACCGAAATCAAATTCCAAAAAATCTCTAAAGTCGTCTTACCTCTTTCTCAATTGAGTCCTTCAGAAGCAAGTAAACATTTGACATCTTATTAGCGTATTCGGGTGAGTATTGGAGACTTGGGAACCGCAAGGAGACGATGAACTCGAAAGTCGGTTTGGGTTCTATAAAGAGGAGCATGTTTGAATACAGCAACACAAACTTTTGCACTATTTGAGGATGTGAAAATTCTTAAAACAAAATATTGACATTCTTGTCAATATAAGATGAAATGTTTCAGAGTGGTGTTATGAGAGTATGTTTTTTTTAATTGTAATATCACATTGATTAACTGACAGTTCTTATGGGTTATAAAGTTTTGAGTGTGGATTTTGCGGTACGCCTTTTGAGATAGCGCTTTGGAGTTATCTGCCATTGGCTGGCTTGTTTGTTTGTTTTGACTTCTGGTAATAGTTGTCAAGGTGTCTTGTGTTTTCGATGGCATTTTATAACGTTCTGAGAGGATATTGATGTAGCCTTGCTTTGCTTGAATGCTCGAGAACAGTGTAAAAGCTATGTAAAGGATGATTGTTGAGTTGTTTCGGGTACTTCGGACTTATACAATCTGTCTGCCATCATCAAGTTTATCAACGTTACAAGACCGACCGTGCTTGTCTATTCAACTGCAGTCATTGTCAACAACCTTCAATCAGTACATCTGTTCTCACTGTGAACGTCAAGACTCTGGTTAGATTGTGACCCAATATTTTAGATTTGTGACTCAATTGCATTGTACTAGATATCTGTACTGTCATCCATTGTAACCTTGGTCATGGCTTATTCAATATACAGTTGAATATTATAGACGTGTCTTTGTTGTATTTTGCTTTTTGAAAGGGGACTCGGGAACCTTTTACGACAGAAATTCTCTAACCGTAACAGTGGTAACATATACGAAGTCTGTAGAATAACATCTTTGAGTACCTTTGCTAGCGCATGCACTGCTGAAGCAGATTTTTTGAGCCGACACGGATGGTGTAATGTCATGTTTGGATACACTCTTGTCTGCTGCGTTATAGTTGCCACCACCCACAGGGAACAGCAAGTACGGACAGTCAGTGTCGGTGAAGGTGAAATCTTGAGTCTGGCTGGTATTTCTTGGACGTGAGAACTTTATCTCAGTCACACCATTTTCAATTGTCCCTCGTTTACCAAACAGGTCGTCCTCGGTATCTAATGCAGGTGGGCTGTAGCCAACTATATATCTAGGATAAAACATACATCATATTAGTCTTTACAATCCACTAGGAAAACTAAGTTACCTGAAATGGTTGGAGCATGATTGTATTGATTTATATGAACATGACCATGACAATGTTGTGCCGATTGGGCTGAAATAGTATCATCAAATCTTATGTATCAATGTAGAATATTTCCTCTCGTGAATTATATAATTACCATAGTCTCTTCTCATTTGAACGGAAATTATTGTATACGGTGCCATTCCTTGTTTGTCTAGTACTTGAATACCACATTTCTCTGATCAAAACACAAAACCTTACATTGTTACAGTCGGGCAAGTTTACATGTCAGCTGTTCCTACCTGTCTGAGATGTAAACGTTGGAACCATCCACCCAGCCGATAACTGCATCCGAGTTACTCTGCAAAGAATCAGCATTACAAGTGTCACATGGTCTTTGCTACAAGAATTGGAATTAAGGTTTAGGATATCCATCGTTTGTAGCAAAATTATCCCTGAATAGTAGCAATGATATTAAATATCTCATCCCATAGAATATAACATCAGTAAATGCAGGTAATCAATATATATACCATCAAAGGTTATATTGCAAGAAATGGATATCAATATTTTAGGCTCACCATTCTCCGTGTTGGTGAGAATGCAAGTCCAATCCATTTCTTCTGACCCTCTAATCTGGCGGTAATGGTGAAGTTAACTACGTCATTGCAACATCAACGACCCATTTCACTTGATACCTGCAACCGTCACAGACGGCTGGCCACTGACCCATACAGCCTTCTGGCATCTCTGTTGGTTCTCCTGAAAAAGACAATATAGAAGCATGTTTAACTTGAGATATCTTTATTTGTGCTTGCCTGGATCTATACATTTAAAAGATTGCAATAACCTCTTTGGAATCGTGAACATAAACAAATATACAATTAAATGGTTCAATTGTTACTGCTGGATAGATTAGGGACCCATCGAACTGAATTCATGGATTTATTTCCATTGCAATTTTGTTATTACATAACATAGAATTCCTTCATATTAGTGAAAAATCTTTTATCTAATGATGGTACTAGGATATAGGTCTTAATAAAGTCATGAACAATCATTTAAACATATCACTTTATTATATCACACAAAAATGACAAACCTGGCTGGACATCCGACTTGACCTAAGGGATAGGAAGGATCCACACGATAAGCGCCAACATTACCAAGAACCTTAACAGACTTGAAGAATGTCCTTACATCGCCTTGAAAGGTTTCATTGTTCGTTGCATTTTGGGACGATTTTACCACAAAGTCAGCAATAATGCTTCCATTCCTGGAAGAGAAATTACAGATTTTACAAAAGAGTGACACTTATCTTAAATTGTCAAAAGGGCACGTTGTATATCTAGTTATGTTCGAAACAATAAACATAACGTGTCTTTAAATGCTATAATATTCCATCTATCCTTTTATCATAAAAGGTCAGTTATAGTATGTCTCGAGAAAAAATCAATTATTGTGTTATTGCATTACGTGGAATAGTTCAGAAAGTAATAGGTGCAACATATACACTGTAAAGTGTCTGTTTAGGTGCATTATTGCATTTCTATTTTTGTGCTGTTTAGAAGGAGTGGAATATGATAGAGAATATGAACTAATTTACACTATGTACAGAATGCCCTTGCCTTAAGTTGATTACTTCAATACTTTTGATACTTTTTGGTGTCAGTAAGTCCTTCATCTGAAAGGAACACATTTTCAATTGATGAAATATGCTATGATTCAGAAGTAACTTAACAGATTTAACAGCTTGTGTGAACAAATATCTCAAAATGATTAGAACACACGGGACCTGTAAGAACAGAGGCTGAAGAGTCACGAATGTCTTATGACATTTACTCGGTTATGAGTCATGTATTAAATAAATAAATTATGAATAAATAAAGTTAATATTTGTATAGTGCCTGTTCCAACGTATTGCTCAAGGGCGTTTAGGCGAAGGCTATGTTGAACAAGTGGGTTTTCAGTTGTCGTTTGAAACTGGTCGAGATTGACAATGTCCTAAATGTGTCGAGGAAGGCGGTTCCAGAGCCCGGGGTATTAGAACCCTGTATGCTAATGGAACTAATATGTTTATGAAAGAATGGACAAATTACATAAAACTAAATCATAGGGCATTTAAATAACAAACTTAGGTTTAAGATCACTATCATCAATGTCATCCATATATACACGATTAAAATACATTTCCCCCTGAATGTCTATGTTATCATCGACTCAATATTGTGCACCATGTTAGGTGATGTAAATGCCTCCAGTTTCAAAGATGTTTCACCTACATCACAATACACTTGACCGAAATCAAATTCCAAAAAATCTCTAAAGTCGTCTTACCTCTTTCTCAATTGAGTCCTTCAGAAGCAAGTAAACATTTGACATCTTATTAGCGTATTCGGGTGAGTATTGGAGACTTGGGAACCGCAAGGAGACGATGAACTCGAAAGTCGGTTGGGGTTCTATAAAGAGGAGCATGTTTGAATACAGCAACACAAACTTTTGCACTCTTTGAGGATGTGAAAATTCTTAAAACAAAATATTGACATTCTTGTCAATATAAGATGAAATGTTTCAGAGTGGTGTTATGAGAGTATGTTTTTTTTAATTGTAATATCACATTGATTAACTGACAGTTCTTATGGGTTATAAAGTTTTGAGTGTGGATTTTGCGGTACGCCTTTTGAGATAGCGCTTTGGAGTTATCTGCCATTGGCTGGCTTGTTTGTTTGTTTTGACTTCTGGTAATAGTTGTCAAGGTGTCTTGTGTTTTCGATGGCATTTTATAACGTTCTGAGAGGATATTGATGTAGCCTTGCTTTGCTTGAATGTTCGAGAACAGTGTAAAAGCTATGTAAAGGATGATTGTTGAGTTGTTTCGGGGACTTCGGACTTATACAATCTGTCTGCCATCATCAAGTTTATCAACGTTACAAGACCGACCCGTGCTTGTCTATTCAACTGCAGTCACTGTCAACAACCTTCAATCAGTACATCTGTTCTCACTGTGAACGTCAAGACTCTGGTTAGATTGTGACCCAATATTTTAGATTTGTGACTCAATTGCATTGTACTAGATATCTGTACTGTCATTCATTGTAACCTTGGTCATGGCTTATTTAATATACAGTTGAATATTATAGACGTGTCTTTGTTGTATTTTGCTTTTGAAAGGGGACTCGGGAACCTTTTACGACAGAAATTCTCTAACCGTAACAGTGGTAACATATAGGAAGTCTGTAGAATAACATCTTTGAGTACCTTTGCTAGCGCATGCACTGCTGAAGCAGATTTTTTTGAGCCGACACGGATGGTGTAATGTCATGTTTGGATACACTCTTGTCTGCTGCGTTATAGTTGCCACCACCCACAGGGAACAGCAAGTACGGACAGTCAGTATCGGTGAAGGTGAAATCTTGAGTCTGGCTGGTATTTCTTGGACGTGAGAACTTTATCTCAGTGACACCATTTTCTGTTGTCCCTCGTTTACCAAACAGGTCGTCCTCGGTATCTATTGCAGGTGGGCTGTAGCCAACTATATATCTAGGTAAAACATACATCATATTAGTCTTTACAATCTACTAGGAAAACTAAGTTACCTGAAATGGTTGGAGCATGATTGTATTGATTTATATGAACATGACCATGACAATGTTGTACCGATTGGGCTGAAATAGTATCATCAAATCTTATGTATCAATGTAGAATACTTCCTCTCGTGAATTATATAATTACCATAGTCTCTTCTCATTTGAACGGAAAAATATTGTATACGGTGCCATTCCTTGTTTTGTCTAGTACTTGAATACCACATTTCTCCTGATCAAAACACAAAACCTTACATTGTTACAGTCGGGCAAGTTTACATGTCAGCTATTCCTACCTGTCTGAGATGTAAACGTTGGAACCATCCACCCAGCCGATAACTGCATCCGAGTTACTCTGCAAAGAATCAGCATTACAAGTGTAACATGGTCTTTGCTACAAGAATTGGAATTTAGGTTTAGGATATTCATCGTTTGTAGCAAAATTATCCCTGAATAGTAGCAATGATATTAAATATCTCATCCCATAGAATATAACATCAGTAAATGCAGGTAATCAATATCTATACCATCAAAGGTTATATTGAACACATGGACATCAATAGTTTAGGCCTACCATTCTCCCTGTTGGTGAGAATGCAAGTCCAATCCATTTCTTCTGACCCTCCAACCTGGCGGTAATGGTGAAGTTTACTACGTCATTGGCAACATCAACGACCCATTTCACTTGGTACCTGCAATCGTCACAGACGGCTGGCCACTGACCCATACAGCCTTCTGGCATCTCTGGAGGTTCTTCTAAAAAGACAATATAGAAGCATATTTTAATGACATATGTTTCAATGTGCTTGCCTGGACCTATACATTTAAGAGACTTCAATAACCTCTTCGTGGAATCGTGAACATAAACAAATGTACAGTTGAATGGTTCAATTGTTACTACTGGACAGATTGGGACTGACCTCGAACTAAATTCATGGATTAATTTCATTGTAATGTTTGTTATTAATAACACAGAATCCTTCATCGCACATATTGGATGAAAACTGTTCTTTCTAATTCAGTGATGGTAGAAGGATATAGGTCTTAATCTAGTCTTGAACATTCATTTTAAACATTTTATTTTTTATATATCAGAGAAAAATGACAAACCTGGCTGGACATCCGACCTGACTAAGGGATAGGAAGGATCCACACGATAAGCGCCAACATTACCAAGAACCTTAACAGACTTGAAGAATGTCCTTACATCGCCTTGAAAGGTTTCATTGTTCGTTGCGTTTTGGGACGATTTTACCAGAAAGTCAGCAATAATACTTCCATTGCTGGAAGAGAAATGAGAGATTGAACAAAATAGAGGCATATGTAGTAATAGATCACATTAGACATTGGTAGTTTTCCCTAATTTCGAAACAAAGAAAATAACTGACTGTTTGAAGGCTGTAATATTTCATAGTTCCTTTTCTCATAAAAATGTATATTTAAAATAAATGTCATGGTATAATAAATGTGTCTTTGCATAATGCTAAGTAATTTTGACAAAAAACATATTGTTTGTCTGTCTGTAAAGGTACACTGTGCATTTCTTTGTGTATGCATTGTACAAGAAAGGTGATGAAAAACAGACAAATACACTTAAAGTATTACAAGAAATGCCCCTTACCTAAAGTTGATTACTTCAATACCTTGGATACTTTTGGGTTTCAGTAAGTCCTTCATCTGAAAAGGATTACATTTTCATTTTGTTAAATACACACTGTTATGGAAGTTAATTTATTTTCAATAATTATTTTCCGTTTACAGTAGCAAATATTACGGACACTCATGTGTAGATGTATAGCATATAATAATGCTTCATCAAAACTAGGTCTGAACAAGATACCGAATGTACAAGTAGTCGTTTAAATCAAGCTCAATAGTTAGAATCACATCTCAGAATACTCAGTAACAAAAGGACTGAAGACTCAATCACCTATGTTATGCGTCTTACGATAGCAAATCTATAAAATACACGTTCTGAGGTAGGTGAGGTCGATTCCTCCTGTTTTAAATATGTTCACCAATGTTTACTGCCCACTTGATTCTCTTCCCATTTTCCCAACTTCCTATTTTCCCAACTTCCCATATACTGTCCACAGTCGTCTCACCTCTTTATCAAACGTATCCTTCAGTAGCAAGTAAACATTTGACATCTTATTAGCGTATTCGGGTGAGTATTGAAGACTTGGGAACCGCAAAGAGACGATGAACTCATATGTTGGTTTGGGTTCTATAAAGAGGAGCATTATTAAATTCAGCAAGACAAACCTTTGCATTGTTTGCGGACGTGAAATTAAAACAAACAAAACGAAACAGTGAAGTTTTTATAATATGAGACAAAACGTGTTCGTAGTGGTAACATATAGAAAGTCTGTATAATAACATCACTGAGTACCTTTGCTGGCGCATGCACTGCTGAAGCAGATTCTTTGAGCCGACACGGATGGTGTAATGTCATGTTTGGATACACTCCTGTCTGCTGCGTTATAGTTGCCACCACCCACAGGGAACAGCAAGTACGGACAGTCAGTGTCGGTGAAGATGTAATCTTGAGTCTGGCTGGTATTTCTTGGGCGGGAGAACCTTATCACAGTCACACCATTTTCCATTGTCCCTTCTTTACCAACCAGGTCGTCCACGGTATCTAATGCAGGTGGGCTGTAGCCAACTATGAATCTGTGCATCAAACATCAAACATCATATTACCCCTTTGGATGTACATTGCACTGTTTAGCTACCTGAATGAATGTGTCATGATAATGAACATGTTACGGCTAAATTGTTTAGATATGTAAACAAGGACATTAATCACTGAAAACAATTACGTTTCCATTATGAATAACTGAATTGAAAGTATTCACGGTCATTTTTGTTTGTTTGTTGTGTAAGGCAGCACTCAGCAATATTCCAGCCATATGGCGGCGATCTGTAAATAATCGAGTCTGGACCTGACAATCCAGTGATCAACAGAATGAGAATCGATCTACGTACTTCGGATATGGTGACATGTGTCAACCACGTCAACGGGCCTAACCAACTGATGACGTTAGTCGCCACTTACGACAAGCACGGGTTGCCAAAGACCAATTATAAACCGGACCTTTACGGGTTTCAATACAATGAAGGCTACAACGTTCAATACAAGAATAAAACCTATGAAGGTAAACACATGGAGTACATTTCACATTTATGACAAAGTACATCGATGGCAAAATATATGTCAGCTGCAGTTCCATTTGTTTCATATGTTACCATGGCAGTAATTCATACCTGTCTGAGATATAAGAGTCGGTGCCATCCACCCATCCGATAACTGCATCCGAGTTTCTCTGCATGATGAATGAATATGAAGCGTCAGTAAAATAATTGCTATGTGATACATGTCCTTGAGGTATTTCCTGCTTTTGTGGCATGCATAATGAGACTACCAGTAGCACTACCTCTGGACATTTGCAATGAAATTTGATATAAATTTCGAAACCAAAGTTACATGGTTATCAAATACAACATATATGCATGCAATCACAACAATTTACGTAATAAAAGTTACAAAAACATATTTTTAAATACGCGATTATGTGAGTTTTAAAAATCAGTCTGTATGGTCACGTCTGGCTTAGATAAAATTAGGAACTGTAGGCATGTAATGACATTCCTTCAACATTAAGGACTATATCATAACACATGCAAAGACTTAAATACCATTCTCCCTGTTGGTGAGAATGCAAGTCCAATCCATTTCTTCTGACCCTCCAACCTGGCGGTAATGGTGAAGTTTACTACGTCATTGGCAACATCAACGACCCATTTCACTTGGTAGCTGCAATCGTCACACTCGGCTGGCCACTGACCCATACAGCCTTCTGGCATCTCTGTAGGTTCTTCTGAAAAAAGCATGTGATGAGGCTTTGAATAGGTTTGTGTCCTTGCATGAAATGCAGATTAATTGACATTTGCAAAGTATTTTGGTAACAATAGACAACTGAAACAAAATGAGGTTCAAATGTCCGAAACACATGAACTAATTTCATTCATCATTTTCTTTCATTCAATTCAGTGTATGTATTTGCAACAAGATAACTTTGGAATTTGAGGCATATGTCATGGTGTAAAGTAAACATTTCCATAATCACAAGGAAGCGCTACTAAACGTTATTCCTCTCAGCGATTCTAACTACATCATAATATTAATATATCTTTATGAATAACAGCCACATCGTGATGATACCTTGTGTTATCAAAAAGATGAGTGTCTCGTCTAACAACCCAACAAACCAATACTGTCAATAACTATGAAATAGTGATGATACCAGGTGTTCGCAAAAAGGTGAGCGCATCCTACCCCACCGGTAACAAACCTTGGCTGCTAGTTTCAACTATGGGGAAGATAGGATCCACGGCATATCCAGCAACATTGCCGATGGTCCGGATAGACTTGAAGAAGTTCATCACATCATCTTGAAACGTTTCATTGTTCGTTGCGCTTGATGTTGATTTTACTACAAAGTCAGCAATAACACTTCCGTTCCTGAAGCAAAGATGGGACAAATACAGCAATTTATCTTCAGCAAATCAAGAAATGGGTGTAACTATTTAAGTGTCACTATGCAAAAACATCTCCATCATTAATTTGTTTAACTATGTACTTTAAGTAACTTTACAGAAGGTGTCACCGTGTAAAGATGCTCGCTCTTACCGTATATTGATAACTTCAATACTTTTTATAGTATTGGGTTTGAGCAGATCCTTCATCTGAAAGGGAAACAGTTTCACTAAATCCAGGAACAAGTGTTATTAGTGTTATGCTTTAAGAAAATACTTTAGAAAATCTGTTCAATGTATTCCGAACATCTCTGTGATGACAATTATTCAACGATATCTTTGATGAAAATGAGTATATAAGTAGAATACTATGTATGTTACTGACCTTGAATAAGCAAATCTATAATTATAACAAAGGTGAGATGAAAATGAATAATTACATTTCATACCTGTCACCTTTGATTGGCAGGTATATGCTTCTACTGTCATATGTGCAGAATAACAAATATGTAAGAAATCCGTTTACCTCGTTATCAAAGTGGTTCTTCAGTAGCATGAAAACAGTCGACCCCTTGTTGGCATAGTCAGCTGTGTAGGTGAGACTGGGAAACCGCAGGGAGGCAATGAACTGAAACTCTGTTTCTGAAAACAGATATTGAAACGGATTAATCATGCATCATAATTTCAAAAGAAACGTATGAAGTTAATTGCATGTATATTGCACACACGAGGGCTACTTACACTAACTTACAACCGGTGGGAAATTATTCCAAGATGTATCAACCAATTCGAAAGGTATCCTGATCAATCATTATCGAACTTCAATCAAATAAATCAAACCGACGAAACCCCTTACATATTCGATAGAAAGTTTCGCTAAAAGTAGAGTCTATTGTATGAGATAAAACATATCATGAACATGTGTTTATGATAGGCTTTTAAATAGTGATAATACCGGTTATTCGAGAAAAGGCATTATCTAAATCAGGTAAAGTCTATATCCAAACTGAAAAGGCAATTGGTTTAATGCTACTTTAAACGGTATGTCTGGGATATTTTACTGAGCAACTTCACATTGAGGAAGCAAATCACAAAGTAAAACCAACATCTACGTTTTGGTGGTGGCAAACCATTTATCACTGACAGTGAGAATTTGTGATTTCTTCCACACTAGCCTAACATGCAGTAAAATATTGTTCAAAGCGGACGTATTCTAAAGAAGATAGTTGATACGACAATTCTGAATCTCAACACTGCTGCAATTGCGAATAACTATACATGTGTACATGTAAACTGTCTGATCATCAAAGTCATGGAATAGAAACGACAATACCCTTTCCACATCCGTAAGAAATCTATGCTAAAAGCAGAATCTATTGTGCAATTCATGACACTATCATGACAGTGTTTGTTTGACGTCGCATTCAGCAGTATTGCAGCTATTACAGTTACGTCGTAGTCTGTAAACAATCAAGTCTGGATCAGACAATCCAGTGATAGTTACATTCAGATGACTGAGCATGTATTTAAACTATCAAACAGTGATTGTAAACCAAAATCACTGTGTTCTTTGACCTGACTGGTTGAAAAACGTGATCAAATGGTATTCGATTCCCGGAAATTCGCTGCGTATTAATGCATACAAACATCGCTCACACCATTGTATCGTTACGTCGTCAGCTGAGATGACGTCATTCAAATCATATTGTGACGTAAAGTCCGAATGACGTCACAAATGAGCAGTTCTAGATGCTACCATGGGAGACAGCCGAAACGGCCGGCTGATGACATTTCACTGCTGTACCCGTACTCGATGTCAATAAGTGGACCTTTTGGTTTACTTTTGTGTTTACAATGTCGATAAACATCATGTGTTGGCCAATTTCCGGGTGTTATTGAGTAATTGAAGCACGGGAATATTCCATTTGAAACCTCCGGCCTGACGCCGTCGGTTCCAAATGAATTCCCGTGCTTCAAATACTCAATAACACCCGGAAACTGGCCAACACATGATGTTTATCTCCTAATGGTACCAGCTGCAGGTGTTCGCAAAAAGCTGAGCATATCCTGGCCCACCGGTGACACTCGGCATAAACATATGCAAAGCCTTATACTCACCTGAAAACATGTTCGGGAACGTATAGTAGAAGTCAAAATAGGGAACTGCATCGGACATAATTTCTGTCACTGATTGATCAAATTTTCAAATGTACCGTTTCATGTAATCAGTACACCGCTTACAAACAGATAATACGTACCTTCTTTATCAGGATTGTTAACTGTTAGATAGGCAGGGTCTACAGCGTAGTCGCCCACTCTGCCATTGGACTGAATAGACTTGAAGAGGGTTTCTGTGTCACGTTTTAAGGTGTCTTCGGTTGTAGTGTTGGAAGTCACCTCAAAATCAGCAATGACACTCCCCGATCTGGTGAAGAAATCGATGATAAACGTCCTGCATATGACTCCAGTATTTAATATATTCTTTTATATGATTTTTTTTCGATATTAAATAGCTCAAAACTATATTTAGAGTCAAGACGTGATATTTCTCCGTTTTTTAGATTCAGCAATGAATCTACATGTGATTGAGTGAATGTTGACTTCGGTATTGTGCATCCGGTACATAATCATGTTTATGCCGAACAAACCGGTGGTTAACAGCATGAGCATCAGTCTACGGGGTACCCTGTCACATAATCACATGTTGCCATGTCTTTCAACAAGGGGCACTTGCAATCGGAACTTTATCTGCCTCGAATCACAGATGACAGAATACTACTTTTAATGTACGCTCATCAAACGGTATATTAACATTACACCTTTACGAAAATAAACAAAGGTGTCTTAATTCCTAATGATAATTTGGCCAAGAGACCAGTCAACATACTGGTTATAGTAGATCTTCAACTACTCATGCTTGCCACTAACGGATCGTGGGGTCAGGATAATTGTTTCCCAATTCCAAAGATCGATGCTCATGATGCTAATCATTGGATTGTCTGGTCCAGACTAGATTCTTTAAAGGCCGCGGTCCTAGAGCTGGAATATTGCTGAATGCATTTTTAAGTACCAAACAAACTTCATAGATTTCATATCATTGTATTGTACTCATCATTTGTTGACAAGTATGGAGTATTATGCTGACTTGCTATACACACCTTATACTGACAACTTCAATAGTTACAATTGTTCCAGGTTTGGACAGCTTGCTCATCTGAAAATGATGTAGATCTCAGCGTCAGTAGAATTCCATATGGTCAGACATTTACTTTCTATTATCATTGTAGTTAATTTTGTTACTGCAGATATGAAGAAGTTTATGGGATGTAATTTATACTGTCATAAAATTGTGTGTGATGTGAACATTAATTGCAATTCTCTGCTGACATATGGATTGTATTTTGCTAACTTGATCAAATTTATCCACACATGCTCTCTGTGTCTGAGACCGTGTACACAGAACATGGACTCTTGAATTTTGAAAAAGAGTTTGTGGGGCGTTCAAATTCTATTAACACTTTATGAGCTTCAATATTGCCTTATGACCATAAGTAAATTTTAGTTTAAAAGGAGCAATGTTTTTATATAACAGGGTAGAATTAATTTGATTTTCATTACCTCTCTTTCCAATAGCCCCTTCAGGTTCTTGAATGCATCTGATGACTTGTTGGCATATAGGGGTGAATACTGAAGATTTGGAAAGCGCAGTGATGCGACGAGCTTCAGTGATGGTTGAGGAGCTGTGACAAAGAAGGCATATGTTCTCAGTATCTGTCGTTACCTACATCTCTTGAAATAATTAGCATTTCAAAATCGTACAAACGCATATGTATGATGACACTTGTAAGTATCGTCACTATTTTACGGGTTTGGAAATACCACATTGCTTCATGAACGCTGAATACCTACGACCGATGCATGGTGTTGTGGTAACTAGCGAGTAGCGAGACCGTGTATAACTGATGGAAATCTAATAAACATTGCTCCATGGATGCATTGTGAGTAAAATCCCACATCTGAATGACAGTAATGAAGACCTCGAGGCTGTGACACATGTTACACGGGAAATATTCCCGCTTGTGTCATATGAAGGCTTACTGGTAAACGCTCATAGTTAAAAGCATACTGTTGTTTTCATCCAACTGGACAAACCCGTTGCTTGTGTTTCTTGAACTACACTTGAGTCAGTCAGTGAGTGAGTTTAGATTTACGCAATATCCCAGCAATATCACGGCTGGGGATACCAGAAATGGGCTTAACACAATGTAGCCACGTGGGGAATCGAACCCGGATGTTCAATATACCCGACGCAATGGCAATGGATGAAGGTTTGTCGTACACGGATACATTCCATCCAAATTTATACTGCTAACAAATGAATTCAGTGGCTTCCCACAGTAACATAAACTTTACTTCCATGGATGATATTGTCATATACTGTCATACATACCGCCATTGCTGGCTGAACCCGCACATGTGCTGCTGAAGCATATTCTCTGAGCGGACACCTGGGGCGTGGCTGCGTGTTGGGAGATGCCCAGAGTTGTTGGGTTATATGCCCCTCCCACGGGGAACAACAAGAAGGGACACCCGGTGTCGGTGTCTGTGAAGGTGAAATCCTGAGACTGACCGGTGTTTCTTTTACGGGAGAACTTTATCTCAGTAACTCCATTGGTGAGCGTTCCTGATGTGCCCACTAAGTTCTCTACTGCGTCAATTTGCGGGGGACTGTATCCGGTGAGGAACCTGGAATTTATATTTGTAAATGATTTGAATAGGATCTCAACATATCAAACAAGTATTGTGGAAGTTTACCTATATTATTTATTGAAATGTGATGAAATATCTTTCAAGAAGAGAAAACATGTGACTCCTGGAATCTTATAGCTCGAACTAAATTCTATTTACATTAAATAATTTCAGCTTAACTCGAACAAATGTTGCGACTAAACGCGAGGTTTTTTGTGTGTACGGTTTATGATAACAATAATGCTAATTTGTGCACCTATGATACAATGCAATGCTGTTCTCTGGCGTTACATTATCACCCTGACGGAATTGTACTTTCAAAGCAGCTACTAAGCGCTTCGCGCGACCGTATAGGTCCTACATCCGCTTCTCAGGACGAAGTGCCTTGCCCAGGCGCACAACACAGTATGAGACCCAGGTCACAAATTTTTGTGTCTCCACTTGGATTCGAACCCGGGCCTTTGGCGTGAGAGGCCAATATACTAACCACTACTCTACTATAATACATAAAGAGAGGGATTATTACGGTCCACATCAACTTACACTTCCAAAACATCACCACATTATTTTGGTTATTTTTCGCCGCACACATCGGTATTCAAGTTACATCAAATCTGGACCAGATAAACCATAATTAACGCATGAACACCATCATTACCTCAGGGCATGATGGAGCGTCATCAATCGACCGAACTTGACCAGCCGGTCCATTAAGTTGTCCATCACGACAAGCTTTATAACTGAGGATTCTGGGGTCATATGTGAGGTCGTAGAGGGCACGTTTATATGAAAATATACCTTTTTGTCTTGCACCTTTTTTAACGTTTACAGCGTTTATCTAGTCGTTTCATAATCAATACTGCACACAGATATCACAAATATCTAATGGCACAGTGGTTGTTTTCATTGTATCGATTCATTCATTTTGCACATGTACAAAGAGTTAAATTTCTATAATAAACACAACGCGGCTTATATTCCTTGCTATATGACGGACAAAATGATAAGCAAATGGCGCCATTCGACATCATCAAATCCAAGCGTACCTGCACTAGATCTATCAAGCCATCGCACGTCAACATTGTCATACATATTTGGTATATCATTGAAGTGAGGTTTTTGAATGAAAATACACACGTTCAATCTGTAGTGCATGAATCTCTCGTAATTTCTACATCGTTTAAAAATTTCGCTTCTAATGTCTTTTGTTTTGGGACAAAATCAACTGGCACCAATCTAATCTAAGGGGGGTAACTCTGGTCTGTTTACCTCTGTAAACAAAGGCCCCATAATGACATATTTTTTCTATGCTTATTTTGAGCGTTCTACTTTCAATGTACGCAAAAGAGTATATATTTTCAAATACTGAATGTAACTGATTCCGTATTGTTTGATAGAAGTAGAGTTTTGCGAGTACACTTCCCCTTTAAGAGAATACTGCCAATAATCACTTCGCCACACAGCCACCGTAGGGCTAAGACATCCGTATGTTAAAGCTTGGAATTTAGAGCACAGTGCTGTGATCGCTTTCTGACTCAGGGCAATCTTAGTGTTACGACTATCGTAAGGCTTGGTTAAAGTATGGGAGTTACGATCACCTCAGCGCTACGACCGCTTTGTGAAACAGGGCCGAGGTTCCTGTCGTCTATTGCAACTTGGACTCATCACAAGTATTTCCAGTCATAGTCACGTACCTATCAGAAATGTGAACACCAGAATCATCCACCCATCCGATCACAGCGTCGGAAGAAGGCTGAAAAGTAGAGAAGGGAAAACTAATATTAATACCTTGCTCAAAAAACAATAATTGTACCCAGCTCTTTGATGCTGATGATTTGTTCACAATACAGATTGTATATATCAAAAGTGAGGAAAAAACATCTGACATGGACGAAATAGCAGCAAGCATCCAGTCGTAACATTGGAGTGAGTTGGGTTTTACGTTGCTTTTAGCAATATTCCAGCAATATCACGGCGGGGACATCTGAAATGGGCTTCACACATTGTACCCATATGGGGAATCGAACCCGGGTCTTCAGCATAACGAGCGGACGCTTTACCAATTAGGCTACCCCACCTCCCCCGTAACACTGGATGGAGATGAAGATGATGTAGGATACACTCATGTATCCCATTACAAACTCACAATAAAGCATTTAAACACAATATATATATATATGTATGTATGTATGTATGTATGTATGTATGTATGTATGTATGTATGTATGTATGTATGTATGTATGTATGTATGTATGTATGTATGTATGTATGTATGTATGTATGTATGTATGTAGTATGTATATATGTTAAATTTACAATATTTCCTTTTTATCAAGTTCAAAATTCGGACAAAGTAAAACGAATTTTAAAAGAACACTACTTCATAGACAAGTTCAAACCAATGTTAAACCATTGCAAGCTGTGACCTTGTCGCTCTAGAATGTTGTCCCTATTGTGACGTCACAATATATATGTAATGACGTCATACTGTAACTGCTACAATCTCCCTGAGTAAAGAACGAAACATGTTGGAGAAAAAGGCATTCTGTTTTTGGTTTTTATATATATGCAAAACCAAAAGAGAGCTCGGATAGACAGCAACCCCTTTATTTTGATTGAGTTGGATGTCGGCTACTTACGTCCCACGCAACGTAGCTATCATGTAGTGCAATTTAAAACACTCTTTCGATGTAAATTAATTGTATCTGCACATTAAGAGTTTCTGCCTTAAAACTTAGCACTGCATTGCAATGTTCATTCGTCCAGGGTGCCGTTCCACTAACCGATCTTAGCCCAACGCCAATCGTAAACCCCTAAAGTCCCAATCTTAGCGTGACGTTACGATCGGCATACCGTTCCACCAACCAATCTTACCTAAGTCAATCGTAAAGTTAAGATTCAAAGTCTAAGTTGCTCATGACCAACTTAGGATAGCTAAAATCAATCGTAGAGAAACCAAAATGGTGCCTTTCCTATTCTATGTGAAAAATAAGAGCGAGCATTTCACCGTCAGCGTCCCCTGAAGTCCCCCATGAAATGATCTTGTATATTTCTGTGATGTAACCAAACACTGCACTGAAGCCTTACAAATGTCAGGCCAGTCTGACCACTGTCGTCATGGGAAGACAACCGAGCGAGTCGATGTAACACATTTGTACAACAATATTGCAACGTCATGGTAAAGAATAGGGACAGCCATGAAGTGAACAATGTTCTGAAGCAAAAAGATACAAATATGCTTTTAGCTAGATCGGAACCGGCTACGATCGGCCTAAGATCGGTTAGTGGAACGCCTGACCACCCGATCCCGTTAGTGGCCTCTAACGACAAGCATGGGTTATTGAAGTTCAATATTCTAACCCGGGCCTTCATGGGTATTTTTCCAACCAAGTGTAAACGTGGAGAAAAAACCTAGAGCAAAATATTAGGGTAGTGAGCATCTTGGTTTCAGGTGCAAGTGCGTGCGAACGCTGGGTATCAGGCATAATATAATAATAATATATGCATATTTATAGTGCGCCTATTCCACATACTGGGGCATGCTCAAAGCGCTGTGTACAGATAATTTACACGAGAGTATTTACAGCCGAGATTATAAGTAATATACTGAGAACAAGTCTGAACTTTAAAAATGTCAATTGTGTCAGAGCTTTTAATGTGTGCCTGAACCTTGTCAATCAGAATAAACATGGCGTGACGAGGCTATAACGTATGTAGAATCTGTCAGTGGTCTTGAATAACACGCGGCCTGCCTTTAGAATCCCCCTACAAATATGCGCAGTGAAATCAAACATATTTGTATCTTTTTGCTTCAGAACATTGTTCATATTCTTAACCATGACGTTGCAATATTGTTGTACAAATGTGTTACACCGACTCGCTCGGTTGTCTTCCCATGACGACAGTGGTCAGACTGGTGCAGTGTTTGGTTACATCACAGAAATAAATTCATTTCATGGGGGACTTCAGGGGACGCTGACGGTGAAATGCTCGCTCTTATTTTTCACATAGAATAGGAAAGGCACCATTTTGGTTTCTCTACGATTGATTTTAGCTATCCTAAGTTGGTCATGAGCAACTTAGACTTTGAATCTTAACTTTACAATTGACTTGGGTAAGATTGGTTGGTGGAACGGTATGCCGATCGTAACGTCACGCTAAGATTGGGACTTTAGGGGTTTACGATTGGCGTAGGGCTAAGATCGGTTAGTGGAACGGCACCCTGATCACATGTAATAGTTTTAGGGTCTAATCGTACCCAGTATACGCACGAATCCCGTTTTCTTTCCGACAACGATTATATATTCTTTCGTAACGCATAATGAGTTACTTTGTATGTCAGGGAACAGGGTTGGTGGGGTAGCCTAGTGGTTAAAGCGTTCGCTCGTCACGCCGAAGACCCGGGTTCGATTCCCCACATGGGTACAATGTGTGATGCCCATTTCTGGTGTCCCCAGCCGTGATATTGCTGGGATATTGCTAAAAGCGATTTAAAACCAAACTCACCCACTCACTCAATCAATCACTCACTATGTCCGCGAACCCGTTAGTAACTAACAGAAATGTTTGGTTGTAAAACACCTACCATTCTCCCAGTGGGTGAGAATCCGAGTCCTATCCATCTCCTCGCCCCATTCAGCCTGGCGGTGATCGTGAAGTTGACCATGTCGTTGGCCACGTCCACGACCCATGTCACCTGGTAGGGGCAGTTGTTGCACGTGGCTGGCCACTGACCGGTGCATCCGCTTGGAAGTTCTGTCTTCTCTACAAAAACATGATGGAAACTTTATTAAGCGTTCAACATTAAACATAAAAGAAAAGAACATCGCCACTGAAGCATGCCAAGTTGTCTCCCTGACCTGAGAGTATAAACTTAAAATGAGTATTACTAGCAGTCTAGAAAGATCTGTAGCTGGATACAGCTATACTTGTATAAATGGTGACTATATTTCTTGGAATAAATGTCAAGAATCATACTGGAGCTTTTTGTAGCTGTGTATATGTATCTTTTAAAAACTTATAATACCATATTGTCAATATTTCGCACATATATACAGACAGTTGAAATGTAATTTTTATGTAACCGTTCAAACCTGGAGCTTTTTGTAGCTGTGTATATGTATCTTTTAAAAACTTATAATACCATATTGTCAATATTTCGCACATATATACAGACAGTTGAAATGTATATTTTTATGTAACCGTTCAAACCTCCGCGAGATGTCCATGAATGATAATGACTTTCTTAAGCGCGGAGTAAACTATTGCATTACAAACACTTGTTCAAATGTTCAGAAAATGTGTAAAGACCTCTGAAGTTTATAGTAGCAGCGCCCCTGTTCGGCCTGTGTCCATGATATTTCAGCTCATCTTCATTGTAGTACTTGGGATTCGCTGCTTGCCCAACTTCCAGCCCCGATCTTGGCAAATGCACATAATTCCCAGTGTCCTGACCCCTTGCCCAGATGACGGACATTGGGACCTCGTCAATACTATAGTCAGCCCTCTCATCGGCTGAAATTGAAAGAGAAATATGTTCTAAAAACAAGCTGAGTGAAAATATACTGAAGAACATAAGAAACGCTCCACCCATATCATACGAAATATCCCCGCCAGACTGAAATCTACCCATGATATCTGAGCATCGTCGGTGCATTTTAGTGTGGTGCGTTTCTTATGTTGTTCAGTATATCAACGTAAACATTAATGCCTCTACAAATGTTCTCAAGTTCGTGGAGGGGTGTATGGAGTGTATCTTTCATTAAAAGCTCCGGAATCAGTTCCACTGTTAGTGTATACCCATTGACATAATAGACTGTTACATGCATCCTACATATGTACCCACCAGTGAGTTTCTTCCTGAACAGTATAATAGTATATCCGTTCTCCTCAAAGCCTAGGGCAGCTGTGAGACTGTTAGTTCCACCATAGAAGTCATCATGTTGAGGGGTGGATCTGTCCCTGGTGTAATAGTCTCCCACCCTGCTCCTCATCCCCCGGGCAGACCCGATCACCATATCCGTACAGTCCATGGGATGGGTGCGGGCTAAATGAACAGAAATAGTTTCATTTCCAGTATGTGTGTTAAAGAAGAGACATAAAAAAGGACCACAGGTGCATCGCAAAGCTGTCTGCTGTCACGGACGTGTTATCATAACATAAGGGTAACACTACGTTAAGCGCGTTACGAAGTTATAAAATCACTGTCAGTCTGGGTACTTGGAGTTTATTAGCTCCATATTAATATTAATGCATTTAACATATTAAGCATTTGTAGCAGACTTACAACCTTCCTTGTTTCCACGAGTTGCAACCCCGGTACCCCCTGTGCTAGTTTCACTTTCTGGGGTAGGTTCTACTTCTGCCCCGGGTTCTACTTCTGCTCCGGGTTCAGTCTCGGCCCCGGGTTCTACCGTTGCTTCGGGTTCAGTCTCGGCCCCGGGTTCTACCGTTGCTTCGGGTTCAGTCTCGGCCCCGGGTTCTACTTCTGCCCTGGCTTCAGCCTCGGCTGTTGGTTCGGGTGCAGGTGTCCCTCCTATAAAAGATGCAGCTCTTATAGTACATGGTGGTGATGCGAAAGCGGATGAAGATCCGGGTTCTGGTTCTGGTTCCTGTCCTGGTTCAGCCGTAGATTCGGGTTCTGCTTCGTGCTCTGGTTCAGCCGTAGATTCGGGTTCTGCTTCGTGCTCTGGTTCAGCCGTAGATTCGGGTTCTGCTTCGTGCTCTGGTTCAGTCGTAGACTTGGGTTCTGCTTCATGCTCTGGTTCAGCCGTAGATTCCGGTTCTGCTTCGTGCTCTGGTTCAGCCGTAGACTCGGGTTCTGCTTCGTGCTCTGGCTCTGAAGTTGTTTCTGGTTCTGCTTTATGTTCTGGTTCAGCCGTAGATTCGGGTTCAGCTTTATGTTCTGGTTCAGCCGTAGGTTCGGGTTCGTGCTCTGGCTCTGAAGTAGATTCGGGTTCAGCCGTATGTTCTGTTTCAGCCGTAGGTTCCGACTCTCCCTCAAGTTCCGACTCTCCCTCAGGTTCTGGCTCTCCATTTGTGTTTGGTACTGTACCAGGAAAGTTCGGGAACGACTGACATCCGGATCTGAAATCTGAAAAGGGAAACCTGCATTGCCTATCCTTTATCCATCCATCCTTCCACCATCAATCCATCCCACGGCCCCTTAGTCAGTCAGTCAGCCAATCAGTCCGTCACCCAAGCATTGGTCCATCTCTGTGACGACTTACCTGTGGGTTTCCATCCAAGGCCTACCCATGTAGTGCTCTTCACTTTCATCACAACCTCCAGTTCTTGTTCTGCCTGGAAGGTTGAAAACATTTTGTCGTAAATCTGTAGAGCAATTTCACCCAGACCGCGTGTACAATAGTAAATCAATGAACGATTACTAAAAAGGCCAAATGAAACTTATACCATACACAGCAATGTACCAATCTGACTTATAATCAATCTACCGTTATTTCTCTGTAGAACAGCTCATACTCCGGGCTCAAGGTCCTCATCTCGTACAGACTGTAGTCAATATTCGTAGTGTTCACCTTGGACTCTGGAAATACAGAACGTGGGTGAAATACTCACGTACTGGGTGTCGGGGTGCGGATTTTGCGACCGTTTATATCATCTTCCAGACACATTGGCACATTTCTTGTTTCTGTGAGCTGTACAAACACGATGCTCATTCCAACACACATTGTCGTAGGAACGAAAGTGTTAGGGGCCGCTTTACAATGCATGTAGTTTGATAACCTCTCATTGACTGAAGGAGTTGTGCAAATATCTCCTCCGTCAAAGACCTGATAGGATGAGAACTTACAAATGGCCCTCCGTGTTAGATACTGGCTACATGTATAGTATACAGAAGAGCCTAAGTTCCTGTAAAGGTTATATCCTTTATCTGCACCAAGAGTACAGCGATGTGTATGTACGTACCTTGCTCACAGTTCTTGCCGAACCATCCTATGTCACAGTAGCACTGGAACCGAGGATAGGACGTGGCCTGGGTGTCTTCACATCGACCATGTCCGCCACAGTCACTGTCTACTTGACAGTCCTCTGAACAGATGGGAAAATCGTTTTAGAAAAAACATACGCACACACACACACACACCAGCGCTCGCCCACATACTACACACCATGCATCCATAACCCCAGCCTTTTCCGCTCCCAAACCCACACTCCCTGCAGTTACTACAGCCATCATAAAACATTACTGGATAACCGGAATTGATTAAAACAGAGGCCAAGCTACAGTGTCATTGATATCAGCCTATTCATACCTTTGTACTGGCAGCGATCTCCCTTGTATAGTTGATTACAGGAACAGAGGCCATCCTTCCATGTTCCGTGCCCGGAACAGTTCGTCTTCGGATCAGTGTTATTGTCTGTAAAACATATACACCTATCATTTAGTTTGTAAATTATAAATATTCGTAATGTTAACAATCAAATGCAGTGACTATATAACGATTCGAAGAAACGAAACAACAAATTTATTCAAAGAATTATAAGAAATTAAATCATTGAATGACTGGAAACAGAAGAAATGAAAAGTGAATGTTTGGTGTAGAAGCAATCGTACTGTAGAAGATACGTTATGAAATCCTGGTTATATCTATAGATACGCTGCAATGATTTGCTACAGAACCTTTCACGATGTTGATGTCGGCGCAGCTCCAGAAGAGATACTGAGAGGAACAGGATCCCCACTCAAGGGCTTGTCTTATCATCCTCAGAGTGCAGCCGTCACACTCGATGTCGGGGAGGGTGATTGTGTACTCTACCATGCTGAAAAAAGTGACATTTGTAATTATCAAGGCTATTAATTGTTTACTTTGATTTAATATCGGCATTTTTTCATCTTACTGGAATAACAAACTCCGCCTCTGAAAGTACAGGCTTCATGATTCGATCACTAGCCACTGTAACAGCCTTTCGGAACCTTCTCTGTATTATGAATGTTCTGTGTTGAAATATGACCAAATATGGGAATATTAATTACGTTGTGTCGTTGTATCCGATAAGGTCGATGGTGCCTCCTGTCTGTGCCCCTGGTTCTGCAGTTGGTTCCCCTGTAGGTTCAGCGTTAGGTTCTCCTTTAGGCTCTGCCGTTGGTTCTCCTGTAGGCTCTGGTGCTGGCGGTTCTCCTGTAGGCTCTGGCGCTGGTGGTTCTCCTGTAGGCTCTGCCGTTGGTTCTCCTGTAGGCTCTGGTGCTGGTGGTTCTCCTGTAGGCTCTGGTGCTGGTGGTTCTCCTGTAGGCTCTGGTGCTGGTGGTTCTCCTGTAGGCTCTGGTGCTGGTGGTTCTCCTGTAGGCTCTGGTGCTGGTGGTTCTCCTGTAGGCTCTGCCGTTGGTTCTCCTGTAGGCTCTGGCGCTGGTGGTTCTCCTGTAGGCTCTGCCGTTGGTTCTCCCGTAGCCACTTGTATACTCCCTGGGGTTGACATGATCATACCGCTCTGCTGGTAGCGAACCACCTCCCGGTTACTTCTGTCCAGAACTTGAAGGAAAAATCCACCCTGAAAAGAAGTACAATCAAGTTGGTAATATAAAGTAGATAATATGAATAGCGAATACAGAACAAACTTGATGACATGGGCACCTTGTGACGAAGAGGTTTTGCGGGTCCGTACCAGTACATCGCCATAATCAATTAATGGTGATCCAACCGTCTGTTACTGGCAGCAGAAATATTTTAAGACTTTTCAGCTGGTACTCTCGAAATGAGCACATGAGCGCCACATCCCTTTCCACCATATTCAACCATTATACACAACCGGTATCATCATCTTCAGGCGAAAATTAGTTAGCCTGGCATAGCAAAGGGTAGCCAAGTGGTACAAAAGTGATGGAACCGCATAAGGCGAAATGTATTACGATTGACTTGAAACATTGCACGATGACTTTCCGCGCAGTGTCTCTGGTTCCGCTCGTAGCAATTATTGAATATTGTTGACAGCAGTATAAAGTTTACTTATTCTTTGAGTCATTTATGAATTTCTAAACATAATGATAAAGCCCCTCATACGTCAATGCTACAGATATTTAAATGTGTATTAATTACTCACTTCACGAGTTTATTGTGAAACACGTCATCAGGAAACACATGTCTTGGATACTTTGACTAAACAGCATGCACAAAAGTTTTGTTAAGAACAATTAAGACACGACATTCAAACGAAGAAAGTTGGATGCAAAATATACAAAACCCGTTAAATGTTAAATTAAGAATGGGTTGGCATGGCTGTACGCCGCTTTTAGCAATGTTCCATCAAAGTCACGACGGGGGCCCCTAAATCGAACCCGGGTAGACGTGACGAGCAAACACTTTAACCACAAGGCTAACACAAAGCCCCTGTTAATGGAGATCGATATAGCATTGAAATGAATTACCTGATGCGGATATGCCACATGCCAAGTCACCCTCATTTGAGATCCAGCTTTGAATTCAGTCACTGGACCAAATCCTGTAAAAAATAAAGAGGTAAATGGAAACGTGATATGACTGTTACTATATTTGGATGATATTCTCGAGTGAAAAGAATAAGGCCAGATCACTAACGGACAAATGTACTAACATATGTACAACACGAAAAGGACAGCAACATAATATTACCATGCACATAGGGCTCTCACGAGTCCAAAATTTGGGACTCGAGTACTCGAGGTGTCAGACCCGACTCGGACCCGAGTACCCGACAATTTGGATGCTTATCTGAAACCAACATTCAAGCATACACGTAGCTGTTCCAACTTCCAATCTACGAATAATGCAACATGTATATGTGAATCCAAACGTTCCTGAAAAAAGCAATTGATATTCAATGTCAATGGAAGTATCTATTACCTTTTAATTTGCAAACAGAATGTGAAGGCAACGTAAGTGTCACTGTGACCCAGTTCTACGCGATCAATTATGTGATTAATATTCATGAGCTGGGCCGGTGATACCGTATTACGCCTGTAAATGCTGTAATATGATTGGATGTGTCCGGGAAAAGAAACCAATCAATCTACTTCTCTTTTCTTTTGGTTTTAAGTTTGACTGCGCTTTCAAGATTATTTAATATTAATATGTCGTTGCAGTAATGACATATTAGCAACTTTTAAACATTCACCTGGACGATAAGTCACATAATCAATTAACCTTAATCACGGTTAAAATACGGCAAAACACGTTCCAAAGCTGGAAGATACATAGATAAAGCATTCATTGATTGGTGCTGCATTAGATACTAGTATCTTGTAAAGATTGATCGACTATGGAACTTAAAGAATATGTAAAACAGGATTGATGTTTATTTGAGACTTCTTATAGTGAAAACGGTTTGGTTTCAAACTAAAGACTAACCATTTATTGAGTAACACTACGCTGTATTTCTTCTTCCGAAACTCTGCTGAACGGAGATCACGTCAATGGTATTCATTGTGATTAAAATTTTCACTATTAAGGATATAGGTCTCCAAGTGTGAATGTTATTTTGAATGCGTATGTATGTGTTGATTGTTGAATATGTAACACTGAAATACGCCGGATAAGAACGACTGAATATCTATGTAGAAAACAAGTTGTTCAAACATAGGTATAGTGGGCAGGGACAGTGATACAGCCGTGAGTGGCTACGCTTGTCCACGCGTCCGTAGTTAGGGCAACGGCAGGTACTGTTTTGGGTACTGATATTTTGTTCTCCTTGCAAACTTCATACGACTTTATGAGGTAGTTGTGAATTGTCGCAGTACATGGGACCTGGTAATTTGGGTTCAATGGTTCACAGAAAGCCCTGAAACCCTCCCCCTTTAACAAGACTTAATGGTCGCATATCCTTAAAGCGCATAAGCATTGCTTTTTGCGTGATACCTTCATACCATTTCCTGTCAACAGGCTTGCGACTTTTGCTATCAAACTTTCCAAACTGCCCCAGCGTTGCTTGTTGAGCTGGTTTTCTGTCTACAGTGCTTATTGTGGGTGCTTACAGGACAAATGCTTGCGTAACTAAGGGAAACGCCACAAAGACGGCATTTCGTATTTTGGCCACTAAATCAAGATAAAAATGCGTCCAGACATTGGATTTTTTTCTCACGATCATCCATCTTGATTGCATTAGATGTTTAGAGATATCTCCCCTGCGAGTCCTCGAGTCCATTCAATTGGACTCGAGTCCTGCTTTACCCGACTCGGCCCCGAGTACCCGAGTACTCGTGAGAGCCCTACATGCACATACAAAAGACAAAAAGCGAGTAAACATTATATGTTGGGCTTCTGTGGCTCCTTTAATAGCTTAGAGAGTTTTGTTTGTTTGTTTTAAACATATTTTATTCATGAAAAGAGAACTGGGTACAAGTTATACAGCTTAGAACACCCTCTCCATAGTATACTCATGCCAATAATGGTTATCACCCCTCCCCACCCCAACCCCACCCACACCCCACACCTCCCTCCAATAAAAAAATTGAAGGGGTGACAACCATTATTGGCATGAGTATATTTACATAAATATTATTTACATTCATTATACAAGATGGACAGACCAGAAGATGGGACATCATGGTAGTTCTCTGTACTGTATATAATTGACACTCAAATAAGTAATGATAAGAATTTCACAAACATTTCCACAAGAACAATTCGGGTTATATTTTATACCAACACGGAATAGATCATAATTCAGTTTGACTACACATGAAACGTAGTTTTCTAAGGATGATATTCGCGTTTCTTGGTCCAAAATCAAAGTGTTGAGGTGCATTGTTAGGTATTATAACAATATCAGATTTAAAAGAATTCAATGACACGCTTTTTCTCACTTCAACTGTACATTCATTCCACACTCTAATTGTGGATGGAAAATACGATTCGGAATCATACGAAAAGAGTTTTCAACAGTGAGGAGTGAGGAGGGGACGGGAAAACAGTTGATACGAGAGTTTGCTTGGTTTTGTTGTTCATGTGTAACGCCGCTTTCAGAAGTTTCCTATGTATTTGACTGTGATGAAAAGACTGAGATACGTGAAGATCCGGGTTGAAACTGGTCTTCAACAACCCATACTGGTCGTAACGGGTAACTAAAGGTATCGGGTGATCAGGCTCGTTGACTTGGCTGATGCATGTCATCGTATCCCATGATGTTAATCACCGGATTGTCTGGTTCAGTCTTCATTATCTACAGTTCGCCGTCATATAGGTTATTCACAGTTCGTGTCACACAACATGCAAACGTCATGCTAAACACATAATCTGGCTTCTAATGGACTGCAAATGCCCAGTATTGAAAATATGCATTGTATTTAGCGAGCCTTGGCGATCTATGTACAAGTGTAGAGACTGCTGCTTATATTAAATGAAAACGTATATTACATACATATGTTTAGCAGCACAGTTTGGTGCAGTTTTACTGTCACCGCACAAACATTTCTTTTGTAGTTGGCTCGCCATGGGTAAATTCTATTGAGCTTTTGATGCAGCTCGGGAACGCAGCTTGCCCCTAACTAAGAGCAAAGCGCTTTGTGTTCAATGAAGAGCGGCATGTTTAGTTCTAAATTCAATTTAAACCGGTTAAAGGTGATCCAGCTTTGAATTGTAAACTCGGTACGTTTAAATATCCATTCCGACACGATACAATTAACTCGTTGGAGAATTTTGAGCTTTACAAACAGACAGATAGACTTTATTCGGTAATGTAGGCCATGTGGCCCATGTTACAATGAATTTAAGAATAACTTTTCAGTCACGATTTTCTTGGCATAAACAATTTTTGTATATAAATAGAAGTGGTTTTAATAACAGTTTCATTTCTGCAATTGAGTATATTTGGCAAAGTTAACTGGCCATGGAATACGTTTGTGAGTTGTGTAATATAATGCAAACGTAAGTCATTATAATATTCACATACAAAGAAAACATAATCTTCGGTCTCCATGAGGACCTTACTGCAGTAATTACAAATGCTATTTTGAAAATCTACTTTTTTCTTTCGTAACACATTAACTTTAAAATTGTGCAAATTTGTTCTTAATTGACAAAAAGCACGTCTTAAATATTTATCTTCTAAAAATGTAACATATCGTTCAACGTTAAGTAAATATTTCACATTTGAGTTATGCTCTAAGAATTTTGATGACGACAATTTAGAGCTTTACTCGCATTTATAACTTCACAAGCCATAAGCCACAGAATCGTCAACAAGCCATGCAATTTGTAGGTCTACTCGTCACGTTTCTATTGTGATGTAAAAACGCGCACAGGGGAAATACAACCTCCTAATCGACGATAAAAAACCCCACTAAATTTATGTCAAAATAGCCCCAAATCCCGGTCCATAATGAAATAATTCTCGTGTCAACTGTGCAATTCTAACTACATATAACATGTGTTTATTAATCACTCTAAAGTAATATTGATTCCAGGTCTTCGCAGGGCGGTGGGGTAGCCTTGTGGCTAAAGTGTTCGCTCGTCACGCCGAACACCCGGGTTCGATTCCTCACATGGGTACGTGAATGAGTAAGTGAGTTTATTTTTACACCGCACTCAGCAATATTCCAGCTATATAGCGGCGGTCTGTAAATAATCGAGTCTGGACCAGACAATTCTGTGATCAACAGCATGAGCATCGATCTGCGCAATTGGGAACCGATGACATGTGTCAGCGAGCCTGACCACCCGATCCCGTTAGTCGCCTCTTACGACAAGCATGGGCTACTGAAGGTTCATTCTATCCCGAACCTTCACGGGTTCACATGGTACGATGTGTGAAGCCAATTTCTGGTGTCCCCTGCTTTGATATTGCTGGAATATTGCTAAAAGCGGTGTAAAACTAAACTCACTCACTAGGTGTTTGCAAAAACATGAGCGTATCCTGCTGCTCAGCCATTAGTCATGAACACGTACAAGGGTAAGTCAATCATTGTACACCTCATTTGAGCACCCGCGCTCTAGGGAAGCCAAATCAGTCTGGGAAACATGTATAGTGTCATATTATTTAACAGCAATTTCATAATTTATATTCTTTATGCATATATAACATATTCCTATAGACTACCGTGTGTTGGAAGCACTTGTGAAAACACTTTCACTAGTATTAGATTAAGTGAATAGAATACGGAATGGTTTTTTGGGTATTTACATAGATGTATATGAATTTGGCGAACACAACACTATTCCAGTCTGCAAATAATCGAGCAGATAATCTAATAATTAACCGACGCGATTGGGATAGGATGACATGCACTTACCATGATGCTGTAAGAGTAAATAAATTTTATTATACCAATGGATTTTCATTAGAAACAATCTTATACGGAACGTCTTCCATGGACCCACAAATTCAATCACATATCTTAAAATCAGTCCATCTATTCATAATTGAAACTAGGCGCTTTAACTGAGCAAGCCATACACTAAAACCTATAAATATGTTTAAACCACATGCACTTACCATGTGTATACATAAAGTCTGCGAGCGTACTGCCTCATCCTAACTGTGGTCACTCAAAATAATTCTAATCCCAATCTACTCGGAGTGAAGATGATGTAATTGTGGTGGTGTCATATATTGCATCTTCGTATGACATAATCTTACAAAGATGCCATATGACACCTCCACACACGAGCATGAACATCCGAAGAAACATATTTTCTCGCTCATATGCCATGAAATTACTTCGGACTTAAGACTTTAGACAAATCTGATTTAGTAGAGTTAAGAACCACCTGTGTAAGAAACACAGCACGCAGGAAACACTATAAAACGACAGGAAAACAACAGTAACTACATACGTTGTTTATCATTACGTTACACATTACATAACAAACATAACTGTGTTTGTCAATTATTGTATTGCATATGAGCTTATTTATATAAAAATAACACTTTATATTTACTGTATTACATGTTAGGTTACTTATTAAAAGGTTGAATATTATATTATGGAAATAACACTTTTTTACATTACCAAATTACATATTAACATATATTTACTAATCGGGCACATTTTTACAGAACGGAAACAACAGGTTTGTAGTACTTTGTTTCACATTACGGATATTGCAAAGGGACAAACGCAATGAATGAAGTTATTTGTAAGGGCTTGTATTGGAAAACAACCCTCAATTTGTTGACTTAACGTTTTGAACAAATTCTCCAAGTCAAAACTAGAAATTCTGCATTGTTGTTCTCGTACATTATACACCAGGGCCTCCTTTCACAAAGCACTCAGGTGATCGTAAGTCACTAAGGTAACCTTAGTGCAATGTTAAAGGATCAGAGTTAAGGTTAACCTTAGTAAAGGTTGCTTCGTGAAAGGACCCCCCTGGCCTGTTTGTCGGCCACAAACCGTATGGTGGGATTTACCCTTTGTCCATCCTAAACCATACCGCGGTAGTTAACTGGGTTACTTTAGGTTATTCCGTGGCTAGGTCAACATGCTTTGTTGGCACAGAGATTTCACTCCCCTTTCTTGTACAGCAAGCCCCTGGCCATGTGTTCAACAGCAACCGTTCTCGTTCCATTAAACCTTTATGTCAATAAACTACATAAGTAATGATTTGTCTGATAAACATAATGATAACATCTGTATTTGGTCTACCCCAGAACTCCTTCACGTACATCTAACATGGATTCCCTGTCAAATGACTGTTCACGCAAGACGACTGATCTTTGGGCGTGTTTCATGTGGTATTTCTGAAGTATTAAGTGCTTCGGTATGAGACCCGGAGATCCTGAAGGTTATGCAGGTGTCGTGACGGGTAGGGAATGTATATATCTACATATAGTTTGCTTCTTTCATCATTCCACTGTACACATGTGCACTGATTTTTGCGGGTAGCATCCTTACTTCCTTTGTTGATATACTGCACTTCGTCAGTTGATAACCCGTGCCTCTTTCATTGATACACTGTTTCTCGTTCGTTAACACAGCGTGCCTCTTTTGTAGTTAAACTGTATCTAGTTCTTGTATATTGTGTACTTAGTATATATCACTATACTTCGTCCGATGGTATATTGTACTTCGTTTGTTGACATACTGTATTTTGTTCGTTGATATACTGTACTTCGTCAGTTGATAACCCGTGCCTCTTTCATCGATACACTGTATTTCGTTCGTTAACACAGCGTGCCTCTTTTGTAGATATACTGTATTTCGTTCGTTAATATAGCGTATCTCCTTTGTTGATATACTGTACTTCGTTAGTTGATAACCCGTGCCTCTTTCGTTGATATATTGTATTTCGTTCGTTAACATAGCGTACCTCCTTTATAGATATACTGTATCCCGTTCCTGTATACTTCGTCCTATGATATATTGTACTTCGTTTGTTAACATACTGTATTTTGTTCGTTGATATACTGTACTTGATCTACGGTGTTAGTTATGGGGTCGCTGCATTTAGAATATACCTTTTTTATAAAATATACCTGATGCCCGCCTGCTCAATAAGGGCGGAACATCCAAAGTTATGTACACACCTGAAGTTCATCCCCAGGATATATTTATCTACACTAGTGATCGCGTCAAGTACCAACAATACACGGGAGCTCTAACGGTCGAAGACAAGATCTGTGGGATGTTCAGCAGCCCATGAGAAACCCTGTACGATGGGTGACCAATGGAGAATGATCTTCTAAGATATACGATGTGTTGTAACTCGCTTCGATTTAATCAACTAGCATTTGCAAATATAACCCTTAATACATGATCATCCAGCAAGCGTTTATTCAGGCTAATAGCATAAGGCCTCTATTGTGAGCCAATACAAGCCCTGGAGGTATTTACTGTTGTTTATATGTTATGAGAATACTTTGAGGAAAATGTATTCCTATCATTGTTGAAATGACATTTATTTAGGTCGATATTAGTGAGATACCATGTCGCGATTATTGCACGTACATAACGACGTGCATGTACTTTACGTGGCTGCTTATACCAGTCCGGACTTATATCGCAAGCCCACTGCGAAACCATGTCTCACGTCTATACCCCATTATAGTCACATTATAGTCACTTGTATCCACCAATCCTTTATGCTTAGCACCGAACGGGTTAGCAAGTACTATATTTAACGTCATTTGGCATGACGTGTAAATCAAACCACTCACCTTCCGCTCTCCAGGCAGAAGCGCTACTTTTAGCTTATGAATAATATTTATGTATAAAATTTAAATATGGTTAAATTCAGAGCCTGATTTAATCTAATTCACAATTGTAAAAATCGCTTTACTTTAACCACGTTTAAATATGTCAAAGCTTTCAAAACCAATGTTGACAATGTTGCCACACAAATACAAATACCAACCAGTGGCATTTCCACAAATAAGTGATAATGCCAATATTTCCTTCATATAGTGTTAATTAAATCACGATGATATATAATTTTAATGCATTGATAACATAGTCATTAATAATTTGCCATACCAAGGAGACTCAACCGTTAACATTAAAAGATAAGGAGTAAGCAACCTACCACGGGGAACCCCACATGGAGCTGACGTTCTGAAGTTGTCAAGGAAATCCAGAGCATATTTTCTCGCTGGGGGAAACGTTAGAACCAAATGTGCACTGCATGTTTGCAGTGTAACAAACAATATCACAAAAATTTTCGTCATTTTTGTGGGCTTCCAAATGAGTGCTGCCGGCTTCCCATACTAAACCATCCTTCACTGTACTAATCGGGGTATGAAACAAGCATAAGTAAAAATACACCCTTGTCTAGCCACTATCGACTCTGTCATGAATGAAGATCACTCCCTGACTCGGTCTTTTACATCCTGATTGGTTACGTTTCGTGTCAACTGGGTGTGGCTTGTTATAATAACATATATAGCGACATTTGAGAAAAGCCAATATGTTTTTATGGTATAAGCTATATTGAGGTGTTGTTCATTCCCAATGTTGTAACACTAACGCTTCGTTTCAACACAGTCTTTGATTTCGGCGATATTTTATAGCCAATACACCTTTGAATAGAGAGAATAATCTTTCACGCGCGTTGTCCAACAAATAGAGCAGAACATGCTTACTATTGTGAATATATCACATTATCCAGGTCCCCACGATCCATGTTTAGTCGGCGAATGTATTTGCCTTCTATATATGTCCTAGGCGTATAAGTGTTTGCATACAGACCGCGATGTCCGCCTGGTTATTGTATGCTATGTATGCTTTGTATTCGTATTTCTCATACCCTTAGGATAATTCAGACTTAGGATAGTCCATGCCTCTCAAACCGCGATGAAACAGAATATGTTATTGTGGCATTAACATAGTAGTAGTTGCTATCTATATTTATATCCCAAGAAAAAAACGAAAAAAGTTGAATATCACCATGACTTTGCAAAACGTTGGCATGGCATGACATCACAGATGTAGCGCTGAAAGAGCCTTTGTTTGACTCCGTGTGACATCTGATCAAGGGGTAGGTGGACCATGATTGCCGCACTGAGATCCACCTGAATGGGAAATGTCGACGGAAAGTTACTCCTGACTTCATGGATGGGTGAGCCCGAGGATAGGAGATCGTGCTTTACCGAACACCATGGCTGTGGCTTGGTGGAGAGACCGTTCACCTCTCGTGTGTATGTTTGATCAAGGGTGGATCATTTGGAGGTCCTGGAGACATTTTCTCCTTACATCTCATAACGATTTTTAGTAATGGTGGTAATCTTGCATTCGAACTAATATAAATAATAATAATCGTTGATATGGTATTTTCGTCAGTTTAAGCTGTAGATGAGTAAAGTCAACCTTAGTTGTCTGGAGGTATGATCATGGGATGTGAGTTTATGAGTTACCGCCGATATCCTGGCTTTGATTCTTTCCATGTCTGCAGATGGTATGAAGAACCTTTATGGTGACGGCAACAATAGTAGGAGTGAGTGAATGAGTGAGTGTGGTTTTACGTCGTTTTTAGCAATATTCCAGCAATATCACGACGGGGATAGCAGAAATGGGCTTCACACATTTTACCCATGTGGGAATCGAACCCGGGTCATCCGCTTGACAAGCGGACGCTTTAACCATTAGGCTACCCCACCGCCCCAACAATGGCAGGAAGTAATAGGAAGTAATTAAATATTACAACTTATTTATTTGTGATAAAGCGATTTCCGATATATATGGGATACAAAACGTCAGAGAATGATCAGTCTCAGTTACGTGGCCAAACAGATTCCACTGGGCGTAAAAGTGATGAAAATGATTTTAATGTCCCAGTGACTGAACGTCAGTGATGAGACAAGACGTTCGCAAAAAGGGTATTAAGCATGTGCAAGTTTGCAGGTGGATTTGCCAGTCACACAATTTTCACCAAATAGAAGCGTTTCTTTGTTGTCTAACACCGCATCCAGCAGTACTCCTGTTATACGACGGAGGTCTGTAAACAATCGCGTCTGGATCAGACAATCTAGTGATCAATATCATGAGCAATGGTCTATGTGAACGGGATAAAGGCAGTTGGTTTAAAAAGTTTAAAATATTTAATTAGGAAATATATTGTTCTTTTGTTTCAGGAAAAACATTATCCAAAATTACGTCATGTTTGGTAATATTTGTAAAGTGCAAAGACCTGCCGACTTTCCGAAATGTAAAACATTAATTCTATAAAAAGATTTTGAGCGTTGAATAGACTCGTGTTTTCAGGTTCGCCAGCGTATCCGGCTCGAACTACTGTGAAATACATCTGATCATGTTCTTTTCTAAAGTCAAAACACTTTGCCAGTCAGCAGGAGGTACATTTACAAGCACTACAGCTTTACATCCGTGTAGACATGCAAGTCATGTTATATGAAAATCTAAACACATGTTGGGAAATGTTGAACATTCTACGGGCATGCTGCGTGATTTCATAATAGCATATGTGCTTAATATATTCCTTAGCTGTAAAATCACGACGAATAAAAAAGCATGACTTCTCACAGTCATAAAATTATGACAAGGCTTCTTTGTGAAACACAGTTTTATTGCTGATGTATATAGTCCATATATGTTCACCATCGTCATCCCAATAAAAGGTCACGGGTTTCTGGGGAGTTCTGTGATCACAATTTGGTACAGAAAAGTAGAGGAAGACGACACGTACACTCATGGCCTTACCCAACTACTCCTGAAGCCTCCAAGTCCCCAAGCACGCACACACCCGCACATACCCGCACGCACACCACACACATCGCACGCACACATGTGTTTGTTTGATTTTGTACACACACGCCTGCATAAATTCATGGCGGTATGGTATGGTGGTGATTAGTATGGTGGTTGGTGGTTTAAACATATTTTATTCAATTCAAGAAGAAAGAAAAGGATTGGCAAACAAGCCTAAATGGCTTATATTAATGCCGCTCCATAATACATGTGAAGGTTCACATTTGTGCACATTGTTGTACATATTTATAATGGTTATAACAAGTTATCTCTGAATAATAACAATCATGGATATCAATGTTTCGTGGCCAGTTGATACAAATAGAAAATAAGAGAAGCTACAAAACTTTTATGAATCAAATCGTTTTCATGTAATAATGATTTGATGTACTGACCGTAGAATATCCATATTCGTCTGATGAGATACTGAGTTATTGCCATTTAGCACATCCCGCAGGGAGAAACCTTTCACATAGAAATATGATTCGTATCGAATGGTATTATATTTAGGACACATGAAAAAATAGTGGAATACATCCTCATAATCTTGTGAGAAGGAACAAGAAGCATTATCAGAAATGAAACGATTATACTTATCACTGTTTAAGTCACTGCATACCAATCTAAGGCGGCAGTGTATTATTTGACAAAATCGACTACCAACATTTAGATCTAACATTGTGTTGGTATTAACTTGTGGTGTGATTAGATTCTTAAACTGTCCAACAGTGGAAGCGTTTGTAGCATTTGTAGGTAGGCCATTCCACTGTTTAATTGTATAGGGGAAAAACGATTTGGCACAATTAGTAGATTTGCATCTTATAGTCTGATAATTTTCATTATTCCTAAGATTGTAGTCACTGTTATCAGAAACATTCCCTGGAGAAAGATCACAAAGATAGTCAGGAACCATATGGTTTACCATTTTGTAAAATAATGTTAATTTAGAATTTTCTCTCCGTTTCGCTAAGGAAGTCAGGTTTGTCTCATGATATAGTTTCGCATGGCTCGCACCTCTAACTGCACGGCATATTGTGCGTAAGGCATCTAAGTGAAGGTTTTCTAGTGACAAGGATTGTTCGTTTGTAAAATTGTCCCAGAGATGACAGCAATAGTCAAATAGAGGTAAGATAAAGGATTTATACATTGTTTCGAGAGTTTTGCGTGATAGTCTATATTTAAAACTACGAAGGCAATTAATCATAGGGCTAATATTCCTTATCATTTCATTAATGTGGGAATGCCAAAGGAGGTATTCCTGAAAAATAATGTCTAAGTGTTTATGGATCTGCACTTCATTTAAAGAGGTACCATTCATCGCGAGGGGAGGTTTCATAGGAGGTTTGGTTATGTGTGAAAATTGGACAATTTCAGTTTTGTTTGGATTAATTTTTACTTGCCAGGTTTCCGCCCATTTAGATATTCTGTCTAAATCTGAGTTAAGAATAAATGCACTCGTATGGGGATCGTCGATTATTACATAGAGTGATGTGTCGTCTGCGAAAAGGCGTATATTGCTTTCGCTTCCATCAACTATGTCGTTTATGTATATTAAGAATAAAAGAGGTCCAAGGACAGATCCTTGGGGCACTCCGGCTATGATCGGTTTTAATTCTGATTTGTAACCTTGAATAACTACTCTTTGCATTCTATTTTGCAAATAACTTCCAAACCAATTCAAAACTTCCCATCTATCCCACATGATTTTAATTTCTGGATAATCCCTTTGTCCCTTTATGGTGGCTGAGTAGGGCCATCGCCTTCTCGCCTTAAAATTCGGAGGCGAGAAAGCGAGAAAGCGATATCACGAGACCCCTAATCAGCCACCATAGCATGGACGTCTTCATGGCATCATATCGTTTAATCACAATGCCATTAAACAGCATTCAATTCCACAACAAACTCAACTGAACACCAAAACAATAGACCTCTGGAATGGATGACTATGAGTCAGGCCATCCAGTGATTAGCGTCCTGAACATTGACCGACGCATGAGCTCAGCCAGTGAATCTCACCACCCTATCCCGTCAGTTGCCTCTTACGACAAGCATGAGTTGCTGAAGGCAAATTGTAACCCGGATCTTCACAGGGAGAGAAGGAAGAAAGTCACACAGCTCTAGACGGCGTTATTTCGGATATCAACCCCAGGTGGTGCAATGTGTGTAAAATATGTACATCGATACAACGAAGGCTATCACGTATTGCGACACAGTAGATAATACGTTAATAGGTATATTTCAGTCTGCATTCAAGGATAACCGGTTACATGATCATACTGGTCAACATTCACTGAAGTTTCGTACAATCTCACAGGGTCGCGTGTAACGGTTCTTTAACTGTTACATATCTTATATTTGGGATTACACTTTCTTAGTAAAGTACAGATTCTAGTACTTTTTGGGTTGAGTCCCATCCGGGATTCGAACCCACACCCTCAGAGTCAGGCACCTAATCGCCAGCACACAAAGTCCTATCCACCTATCAGCTGCAGAGGGGTACACAAAGTCCGCAGTCTAGACTACCAGTTGTCCGACTTCCATTTTGTGGAAGCCGCGGTGGCTGAGCGATCTAGGCGTCTGACTTT